CCATGTCCACTAGTCTTTCTGGCCTTCCGTAGCATTGCTCCAGTGTTCGCATGATCTCGTCGGGGTGCGTCGCGGTGCTCAACAATGATGCGACGTTTTCCCGAGCTTCTCCACGTAGGCAGTTTCTTAGTCTTGCCATATTCTCTGTAGGTGTGAATTCGTACAGCCGCGTTGTTTCTCGCATCGCAGTCGCGAACTGTAGCCATTCCAGCGGTGAACCAGAGAATATCGGTAGATCCGATGCTTGACGCGGCGGCGGTCGTGACTTCACGAGGGTTTCGAGGACAGAGGCGAGTTGATCGATGCCTCTGCCTCGCGATGACGACCGTCTTCGTTCTTCCCTATCTGGGCGTCGCGTGTCGCGTTCAGGTGGCGGTTCAGCCACGGCGGTCCTTGAGAGCTCCCCCCGTTGTTGGTCGACGTTCGCGTCGTCGAGCCACTCGAACACTCGATCTTGCAATTTATTTGCCGGTTCTTCAGCTTCGGGTTCGCTCTCTGCTCCGTCTAGTGTTTCTAACTCGATATTGAGCGTCTTTTTTATGAGGTCCGCTTCAATTTCGAGTTCTCGGCGTCTTATGGCAGCCAGTCGTTCTTCTGCTTCGATGCGTAGCTTCCGGCGTGCCGCGTTGCTCGCTGCCGAGCGGGTCGAACGCGCGACGTGCACTCTCTTCGCCGGTTGCACCGATGACGTCATCGCAGATGTCGTTATTCCAGTAGTCGCCGCTGTGTCCGTTGGGTGTGCTGCGCGTTCGTCCGCTCCGCTCGGCGGCTGCGTAGTCACTGCCAAGGCGACGCGTGCTCCGGCAACGTCTGCCCCAGCGCGGTTCGCGTTAGGCGCTAGTTGCGAGACTTGCGGTGCGGTGCGTAGGCTCTCCCCGGCGTTACCCGTCTCGAGGCGTCCTCGTACGGTCGGTGTACTTGAGGGCGATCTCGGCGGCTGGTCGAAGACACGACGTTGGTTTTCTTCGTCTTGGCTTCTTGTAAGCACCATCTTGATTCACTGTTGGCTGGATCTCGGAGGTTCTATACGTGTTTAGATCCGGCTTCTCGAAGGACCAAACTGTTGAGGGTGCTGATCCGGCTCTATGGACCAAACCGTAGACGATGTTGTATAACCGTGGATGATGGTGAAAACAAAGACGAATTTCTTCTATAGACGATTTATTATATTTTCTTCTTACTGGCTACTTATTACTGCTTGACTATACTGCTTGACTGACTTGACTTGACTACTTGCTGAACTGCTTGACTGACTACGAATATTTACAAATTTGGCCCTACCCTTATTCTAAACTTAACATCTAACTTAGCTACTAGTGACGCGCGGCGGCCGACCAATCACAGCGCGTTTTACGCCCGCGCGCCGGGTGGGGGAATCGCCCCCACCGTGCGGACGGCGCCTACGCAGCCAATGGGCTCCCCGATAATTCCGCTAATGTAGGCGCTGTGATTGGTCGTTCGATCTGTACATTTTTCGGCACGTGGCTGTCTTCAACACATTGTATTCATAACTGGAGCAGTTAGAAAAAGATAAACAGTAAAATGATTTACAACTTAAGTTTTCTAGATTCGCGCGGTATTTTTTTTGGGGTACATACTGTTAGAGAAGTATACGTAATGTATACATTTCTAAAAACTAGATAGTATGAGCTTGATAATACTATTTTTTTTATCACAAAATCGATCTATTTATTAAGGTAAATATATTTAAAAGAAAAAAAAACTAACTGTAAAAATTATTTTTTTCGAAAATTATTGACTTTTTGTACAAAAGTATCTCTAACTAACCTTAAAAACGGATTGCCCGTACTCTTCTTATGCGAAAACGATACCAAACACGCCACTGTATGCATAACTGGAGCAGTTATAATTTTTTATTCGAAGCGCGGCGGGTGCAAACTTCCCCCCCCCTCCCCCCCTCACCTGCAAGGGAAATCCAGGTGGCTCCACTTCTTAAATCAATCCTTTGGACCTACAGATCAAACCTGCCAAAGGATATCTTTTGTTCACGAAACGCCGTATAATTTCTCGTAGACCGGTCACTACTCGCCGTATCGCCGCGATAATATCGCCGTGTGGAGACGCGTTCATAGAGAGTATATAGAAATACGTGGCACGACGATAATATCGCCGCGATTCTCTCGCTCGTGGAGATGGCGCCAAAGAAGTCTTTTAGTTCTATCCCTTGCGTGTGTTTTTGTTCTTATCATCATAAAAATTTAAAAATAAATTACATACTTTTAAAAAATTTAAGTTGATCAAATATAATAAATAAAATTTAATGTCCATGTCACGTTAAGTAGAAAACATTTGCAGTTTTCTATTTAATTTATAGTGAGGATCTCAAGTTCGGTGCTGTGACGTAGGCGAGTCTGAGGCCAAAGACGTTTCATGCGAAACCTCGTGTTGTCACGTCTTTTACCCGACGGGGTAGGCAGAAACCACCTCTTTCCATTCTTCTCTCGCCTCATCCACACGCATCAACCTTTTCATACAGTACGTCGTGGTACATTCGTCTTTAGTCAGGGTTTCCCTAACTTATTTCGTCTACTGCCCACTTTGAAAATAAATTTATTTTTTAACGTGTAAATTTTTTCACCTACTTAAAAGTTATATTAGCGGAGATTAAACATTTTATTCAATAAAACAGGATAGATATGCGAATATAAACTACACGGAGAGAATTATTGATCAGTTATTTTAATAATAATAATAATATCTTTCGTACTTCCTGTCTCTCTTAAACATCAATTCCACATAAACAAATTCACTCACTCGCTTCACTCTCTTATTTTCAAATTTTATCCTGCATTTTGTCATAATATCACTCCTTTCAAAAACCATTATTTTCGTCGTTTCTATATTCACTTTGTGTTAAATATAATAATATCAACATCGTGAAACTTCTCAACTTAATTCTTATATAATTTTTTGATAGTCAACAACATGGGTTATCAAACACTATAAAGCTCCACCAACTGATGTAATGTTTAGAAAATATAGTATTATATGAATTGCAAAAAAAATATCATTTTGTAATAGCCTGATGTAAATTAGTTTTCTTCTTCTTCTTTTTTAATTCATGGCCTATTTGCATTTAGTAAATTGGTTTGTAAACATAATTAGAATAAGTGACAGTTACCATTATGATCGAAGGAATGATTTATAGCCATTAGATCGAAGAGTTCGTTAGCAGTCTGATACTCATGGGAGTGGTTTTGCACGCGACCTTCACCAGTGTATTCTTCCTTCCGCTCACTCGCGTTGGCTTCACTCACACCACTTATCAACATAATTTACCACATAGAAAATAAAAAATGTTAACTTAAAAAGTATGTAATGTAAATAAATAATATTTTTAAAAAAGCACTGTGACATGCGTAATTATTGCAAAATTTCACTCTTCATTTTCAAACGATTATTTTCAAAAATGAGGTCTTCTCAACAGATTCCAAATTTAGATTTGATTGACTTGTGTACGTTGATACTTTAAGCTCTGGCCAGTAATTTTTCACAGAATACCTATAAAACGTGATGCTTGGTCCTAGACTCAAAACTTTAAGCTTTTTCCATTTGTAATTAAGAGGGCGCGTGAGGATTAAAGAAGAAAGCAAATTGTAGTAAAAAAATTAGAATGACTAGCCGTTTTAATTATAGCATCATTATATTCATGGTATAACATTGAGAACCCTATTGTTGGTCATACTTTTATAATTAATTGCCAATGGAAACGATCACGTTGGAAATCTTTGGGTAGGCCTATGCCCAGCAGTGGGCGTCTCTCGGTTGATATGATGATGATGATGAATGTTCAGACTTTAACAGATATTGCATAATTGCATTCAAAGGACAACATCCAGGTTCCATACATTTTTGGTCTAAAAATGAAAAGTGACCACCAAAACAAAAAAATGGGTTTTTCTGATCCGCTTATCATTTTCTATTAAGGCTTAACATCCGCTTATCATTGTATTTAATTTTATTTAACTCAAAAATATATTAATTGTGTTTTTCATATTAATTTTTTTGATATATGTTTGATGTCGTTAAATAATCAAATCATCATCATCTGGCATATAAACTTTGCAAATGCCTAGCATAGCTCATGAACCATATTATACACATTATATGGTAACAACAACCAAATGTTCTTTATCCAAAAATAAGATCATTTTCAGTCCTATAATAAAACCAATGAAATGCACTAACCACATTATTTATGAGTTCATTCATTATGTCTGCGTCAGATGTGACTGCAACATATGCTGTACTGATGACCTCTATGATATGACCATCGCAAGAAACCAAGAGGAATGGTTTGAAAGGATTTCTTTATTTATGATGACTTTATAATTCGCGTTGGAAAAAATAATTGGCACTTTTTTTAGGTAGACATATGTGCCATCACATATAGTTAAAGCTCCTCTTTCGCTTTCTGGACTCAACGGATTACCAAACAGATTGCCGGGTAATAGCACGTGTCATGCGATCGAACCCAAAATTTAAGGGTACAAAATCTTTTAAACGTCCAGTTTGTAACCACATAAATATTTTAACTCTACGGATACTGATGCCACTATTGTTTTTTTTTTCTATTTACTAGTGTGAGGCTTGGTAAGGTTGCCAGAAATTCCTCAAACTGAACCTGTCTAGGTATGAAATTCTTCTGGTGGTATATTTTCATACTGTTCAAAAGCAATCACGTTTTCAGTAATTTGTTTTTGTAGCATTGAAAGAATACTAATTATACTTGCAGCAGTAAACTCTATAGACTCATTGTGAGCGAGAAAATCACAGTGGCGTAGCGTACACGGCAACGTTGCTTACGGCACTAAGCAAACCAATGCGAAACAGGCCGAGTGGTGCTGGGCGGGGTGGCCGTTGGGGGAGGGGCGATACTGTATTGAGAAGCAGGGAAGATGAGGACTTCTCTTTACCTGCTTGTCTATTGTGCTATTGTTATTTCCTTTTTATAACTTTAACTTAAGTTCCAAGGTTACTTTTTTGGTGTCTTTGTTTGCATTGAGTTATGTCTGCATGATATAAAACATTATTGTTTCAAAAAATATTTGGTATGTTATGTTAAGAAATTCAAAAATGTATGAAGGAAGGAATGATACAGCTTTGGTGCGTTAATAAGAAATGTTAAGAGAGACCACTAGAATCAGAATAACTCGCTTTTTTTTGAGCGCCACTTTAATTTTTGGACCAAAATGGATGATGTCCTTCTTTTATAATAATAAAATAATACAATCGTAAAATAAATAGCCTTTTTATTAAATATACATTAACAATATTTTATAGCATATAAATAAACTTTAAGCTTAACTGAATATTTGGGAATGTTATATTATATAGGATTAAACTTAATATAAAATAAAATCAGTCTTAAAATTAAGTTAAACAATTTGTTTTACTTAATATAATAATATTTATGATTACATAGTAATTATGTACATACGTTTGATTTCTATTTATATCGGAACTTTATTAAGAAAATTACTTGTCACAGTGAAAGTGGAATCAGGAAAAGGTAAAAATCAAGTAAATACAGGACAGCCAGCCAGACAGAGACAATATAAATTTACATAAAGGGTGTTTAGGTATATAAAATATGTTATTTTAATCCGCTGAGGTATTGGAAATACTATTAAAATATCGATTTCATGGTGTGCGGAAAAGAGATTCCAGAAGCTCCGGTTCGGTCAAATCTTTTTTATATTGTTGCGCCAATTCCTGTATTAAGTGACGTCTCCTGACATGCGGCGGTTGGTACCTGAAATATTGTATTTTATATATATTTTTACTAATGCCACATCATTTTATTTATATTTTAAATTAACAGAAATGGAGTGAAAATATATAATATGCCTTTTTTGCCGACCTGGGCAAATTATTTAGAAACACAAAATGCAGACTTAATGCCAAAGTTTGTTTTACCCCACAGAATACAGAAAAGAGGTTAGAAAGGCGATCATGCATCCTTTGTACGAAAACTGATAACGCCAGTCTTGCCCCACTTTTCGTCCACCATACATCAGACGAAATATTAGACCAATTCTACAAAAGGTATGCACATACTTGCATTTTAAACATGCCAATCAGAACGCTCCAATATAACTATAACCAATCACGCTCATCCGCAATAGGCATCTAGAGTGCGTAATAAATAAATAAATTAAGAACCAAGACCATCTATCTACACTTTTGGCGATTTTGACTTTTTAATACAGTTCTTTTCATGGTTAATTAACGCATCGTTTCCTTTAATCGATTACTTCATATTCGCAATGAATAACAACTTATGAGAAAATACTTACACTACCTAAGTTACGTGTCGTATTAATTGTATGGAAAAACAACCTATGTACAGAGAACGTGTTATTACTCGTTTTAAAATTTAATAAAGCTAAGAGTTTCTTGTTTGATTTAAGTCTTTAATCTATATTATTTCGTTTGCCAATACCATCTATATTACAATTCGCTGCATAGACATGCGCAAATATTTTAACTGATGCCAGATATCTACAGTTATTTTGAAATAAACGAACATGTCTTGAAATACATGTAAACACCTTATTTCCCACGCCCATCCAATAAATGATCAGATATAAAAATAAAAATAACTTGTTGTAGAAAAAATATGAAATGTTTTTTTGTCTCCTGTAAAATCGACTTGGTTCTTAAGCGTCGATATTACATTAGTAATTGACATAAAGTTATTAACTATCGATATTGAAAAACAACAAGACAATAAATTGAAAGGATACTGGAGTAATGATTTCTTTATATTATTTTGGATATACGTTGAATTGTATTGATATATTGTAACATTATCTTTTTTCTTTAGATGTTAATATTAAAAAGCCATAAAATTTTTATGCTTGTTAATTAGTTGGTTGATTCAGTAAGAAATATTAAAATCACTTCCTTATAATGAACTAATATTGAATCAGTACTAGTCGTGCTTGAATATTTATTTGCATAAATGTTTTTTTATAAATAATCATTTTAGGTATTTTTTTACGTTATATTACTCGATTTGGTATCAAGTAAACTGATAAGATCGGCAACATCACTTAAATAAAACTAATAATATTGACAAAAAATAAAATGTAAATAATGTAGTCTAGAATAGGGTTAGATTTTATTTATTGCTATTGTTAATCTCTGATCACATTTATCTTTTATTACCACAATTTTTTCGTCCTTACTTTTATTTAGTTTTTACTGACTAACACAAAGAATCGATTAAATATTCAACCGTAATCAATTATGTTACTATTTAGAACGGTGATTTCGCAATGTTCTTTACATTACGTGTTTAGTACGATGCAATGTAATTATGCAATTTATATGCGTAGTGCTCCAGCAATATATATTTTCATGGAAATATTCTTTGTGATTCACACTTTTGATTAATAATAACCGCGAAAGCCGTCATTTTTAATACTTTTAGTGGAGTGTTTCAAAGTGCTTACAGCGCGCGCGCGTTCGTGAATGACTAAACATCGCGATCGCGTGGTGAAGTCATGATCCTGTACGTTTGCCAAGGATCGTGGCTACGCTGCCACGCCCACATGGCCCTTCTAACGTCTTTCTGTGTTCTGTGGTTTTGCCCCATTCACCCATAGACTAAATTTGCTAATTTTTATGTAACAATCGCATTTAATGTAACTTGCATGTGGTATTGTAGTAGGTACCACCTGAAGTTCAATATTATGATATACTAGCCTTCCGCCAGAGCTTCGCTCACATGATCTGGTTTAAGTCAAGAAATGAGAAAATTTCATAAAAACTTTCATCCCCTAATTTACCCCCTTAGTTTAATTTCATAAAATCCCGTTTTAGTTAACATCTCCAAAAAAGCCGCACGCAAAATTTAAAACTCCTAGCACTATTAGTTTCTGAGATTTCGTGATGAGTGACCTTTCGCTTTTATATATACAGATCTGTCATCATTGATTTGTGAGGAAAGTGTTATTATTTTATGCACTTATATTTAGTTTGATTGGAACAATAAAAAGATTATTCACAAATCACATTTATTTCATGCTTTTTAGTGATATTGATATTTTTTATATAATAGGTAAATAAAAATATTCAACATAGTGAAAGTCTAAGAAAATAATATTTTATTTGCTCGACATTCTTTTTCCCAATTATTCTATTCTCATATTACATATAGGAAAGATTTGATTGCTTGTTTGTTTGCATTGGATAGGTTACGAAACAACGAGCGATTTAAAATAGTCTTTCATCTAAGGGAAGGGAAAGAGTTTGATAGACATTGGTTCACAATTCAAGAAGAAATCAATTGAGTACTACTTTCATAAAAATACATTATCCTTGAACATAGAAAATCCTCCTTTCGGAATTCGAATGAATTCAAACTCAATATTTTACTTTTTTGCTGAAATACAATACATGTCATCTAAAATTATAGCTCAAAAGCATATTTGTTTTGTTATAAAAGGTAATCTGCTGATTCGATTTCGATAAAATTTATATTGGATCACCACGGTCCATTAAACTATCGTATAAAAAAAAATTTTGAAAATAGGTACAACATTTAGCTGGAACATCAGTGAAAATACATTAGAAAAACCATATATTGCCGTCTAACGTATCACCTCCACCTTTTGAGTTTATGAATTCGGTTAGTAACTCACAGATCGGTGTTGTGTCTAGTACGTCGCGCGCGGTCTAACGCGGCGCGCCGCAGACAGTCCGGCAGCAGTCGGGGCGCGAGTTGCGCACCGTCGGCGAGCGCGCCCGTCGCCGGCGTGGGCGGGGCGGGCGTGTCCAAGCCCGCCGCGCACGTGCGCACGCGCACCAATCCCGAGCGACGGGGGCTCACGCATATCACGCACACCTCGTGACGGCGCCACGGCACGCCACTCTCACAGTACTTCAACATGTCGTCTGTATAGCATGACAACAAATTATAATATCTAGGCAAGGTGCAGCTAGGGATATGTGCAGCTAGGCCCGCCTACATTGTATCAACTAATAACCATAAATCGAATGTAAGTTCATATTTTACTCACCGATGGGTAAGTTGAGATGATCTTCGTAATCTTCTAACCAAATGATGAGTATTTTGGTTGTGAAATCTCTATTACGTCTTCCACTGCCTACAAATGAAGAGTAGTATAAGTTACTAAATGTGTCAAAACAAATTGATTCACCCATTGTTACATTCTTCACTGTTGTCAATAAATTTGTAATTAGATGACGCTACTAGTACGACATTACAATTACGTTTTTTTTTTATCATCAGATATTTAAAAAAAAATTTAAGTTCATAAGTTAGAACACATTCTAAGTAAAAAAGTCTATTTAAAGTTTGTTATAATTATAACAGATTTTCTTTAAATAATTTGAAAATATAATTTTGAAAGCGTCACCAACTACCGCAGTCATAATTCAATGGAAGATAACCATTTATCGCTTTCCAGGTTTTATCCTCCCGCAGAGGGCATACCATAGGGGTTTTGGTGGGTGTAGGCTTCCGGCGATGTATCCTAGGCGATGGAGGAAAGTTCATCGCCAGACGGTGCTTAAAACATTTACCTGACGTGTGAAAAAACAGGTTCACCACTCACCGGGCAATCCCGTGGGAGGACGGTCGAGATCTAGTTCGAGTCGCGGCTTGTCAACGCTTCCCTTGTCCGACTCTGACACGGAGCGTTCATACGATACAGCACCTGACACGTCCCAAGACGACCCAGCCGCTTTCTCTGAACCTCTACATACAACAATAAATTTGCATGGATAATTGGCTAATTGACAGTAATAATAACAATATAGAAATATATTGAATCATGGTAACTTATATATAAATAATAACCTATTTTTTAAATACATCTACAGATTACTGTAAGTATATTTTATTTATGAAAAATTAACTTGTGATTTATAATCTGTGGATTGCAAGAACCAAAACGCGGGCTGCCATTACAAAACATCCAGTTGAACAAGGACTTGATATCTTAAGTAGGTTAGGTCATATTTCAATAAACTAAACGTCAACGTCTTTGTTGTGAATGTAAGTAGTATTAGTCCCGTATATTGCTATTGCGCTGGAACTGGTCTAAATAACATCCGCGTGACGTCATTTAAAAATAGAAAGTATAGATAGCACAAAATGCAAGAGATATAGAAAGGACATTTTTTTTAATATAGCCAAAATTAATGTGTAATGAGAGAAATTAGATATATTTCTTTTTAGTGAAATTAGGTTTGCTTGTCGTGAAAATTATAACAGCAGTTGTCATTTTTGTCAACCATAAGAACTAACAACAAACTTAACACTTAACTTTAATAACAATCGAAAACAACAAAAATTTCGTGTGATCTCAACACATCCCAACTTAATAATTGTACTCGTCAACCAGTGTTTATTTGCTAACGGTACTAATTGTTGCACAGAATTACGTCACCAAAATCGTCCAGGCGCATTAGCAATTCGCAGAGATTATGCGCTATGTATTAAAATGTGACAGATTGTTTTCGAGCGAAAATTTAAATTAATGTCCAAACATAAGCTTTTTCGTCATTTAATAACATCATTGGAAGAAAATTAAATATGATATTGGTTCAATGTGATCAAATTCACATTTTAAAATACTTTCTCCAAACTAGTTAAGTAACCAAATGTAAAACATCAACTTTTCAGAGAGTCAACTTCATAAACAACATTCGTTTTAAGAGTTTTGATAAGTCGTTAAATAATATAATACTAGTGGTCGCCCACTGGTCGAAATTTGACCATAATAAATTTCAATTAGAAGTTATTTAACATAATTTATTAATATACAATGTTCAAACATTATTAAGGTTCTATTGTCAAAGAATTTATTACTATCTACTATAACCACAGATTTCGCCAACGTTGAAAAAGATTTATTTAGCCTCCACAATAAAAAATACAAAAGATCTTTGAACCAGCAATAACAGATTTATATTATACATTTTTTAAACTCACACGATTTGTATACATTATAATTATATGCAATCGGGTCTTGTTCGTGCATTTTTTAAAACAATTAATTTACCTCGACGTTTTCGGCTACGTTACAGCAACCGTGGTCACGAGGAGTCTCCTCGTGTATAATATAATTATTATATTATACACTTGACACTTCTTTTGAATATTGGTTTCGCACACTGGCTAAATGCACAAGCTGTGCGAAACCAATATTCAAAAGAAACAAACAAACTCCATGTCAAAAGAAACAATTTGATCACAGAGTACATGTATGTCAAAGTCAAAGTCAAAATAATCTTTATTCAAATAAACTTCTAAAAAGTACTTTTGAATCGTCCAACATTTTTTTCCCTACCGCTCGTTCAGGACGTCTTTTGGCTGATAGGAAGAACGAGCAAGAAACTCACCAGCTCTAATAGTAGTAATGACATTTACAAAAACCAAATGCGTGTAGCAAATACTTGTTTGTGTGTGTTAAATGCATAGTAGTGTGTGTAATGTTTTATTTATCGATTTAACGTACTTTATAAGCATTATTATTGAAAAATATTAGCCGTTTGCACTTCTCCTACATAAAAACTATAAATGCTAAAGTTATAATATATAGATATTATAATAAAAATTGAACTATTTTTAATGAAATTTAGTACACTGATAGAGGGGACCTTGGGAAAGGATATAGATAGTGTTTATCGCAAAAAAGGATATACATAGTGTTTATCGCATAATAAGATGAGAAGTCATCTACTTGGTAAAAACATACTCGTAAGAGTACATCATCAAGATTTCCTTTGTATGAATTTTACCTGGAGTGGCAGGAACCATCGAGGTCGCATTTGTTTTCGTCATCGAGCTCACGACCCGAAGGTACGATAAATGCAATTTCATTGGTCGAATCTGCCCAGTACAGCACCTAAATACACACGTTACAATTAAAAACAAAACGTGAATACCTCTACGATATACTGATAATACATGTAACCTGTGGCATAGTCAGCATGCATCGCTCACTTTCAACGTAAATAAGTGATATATAGAGAGAAGTAGTGTAAAAATTAAGTAGTCTGTAGAAGTATAACAATTTTCAACAAACTTTCATTTTTTATGTCGGTTCACAAATTGCTGGCGCATTAAATAAAAAAAAAAGTTAGATGTCAGTGAGATTATTGAACAATATTAAACACGTATTTTCCATTCATTGCGTAATGAATAAATTCGACGATACATGAGTTGAGAGTTATCACACCTATCAACCAGGCTCTCAATCCTTAACTTTAATACCATTATATAAATCATTTCTTGTTTACTTGGAGCAGAAAAAATGCGTATCTAATATTTGCACAGGTACATCGGTAAGCAAATTAGTTGTATCTTATTAGTATTATATGATAACATCTGAGCTAATAGATAGAGACAGTTGAATGTAAAATAGGAGGTCGATGGCGCAGCGGCACCGAGCGGGTGTGCCATATGTCTGTTTTAAAAAACTTGTAACGGTTTACTTAACCTCTATTAACGATAGTTATAATTTTAAAATTACTTAAGTCTTAAATATTTGATTCTAATCTAACAACAGAGAAAAAAGAACAATAAACAAAATAATACGTGTATGTACAAAATAAACTTAACTATCTTATAATCAAATAATATCAACTTAAAAACTGAATATAAAAAAATAAATAAAATATTCTAATAAAAATTAATAATAAATAAATACCAAAGCAAAGTCAAGACAAAGCGCTTGTATGTTAAACCTATTGTTCGTGCGCTCGCGCATCGTCGACCGAACCTGCAAGCCGGTTTCTTAACGGCGAGTCACTATTTTTATACTACCGCAGAGTAAAGACCACAGAACATAGAGAGAGATTAGAAGTATAATGATATTAATTTAGTATGGGAACCGAGTGTCGCCTCTCCGCACACAAATACAGATTAGATGAAATGATCATTTTGTTCACTACATGAAAAACCGCCACGCGATAGGTTCGCGATAACATAAATCAAATCCCAAAAAGATACTAAGCTAAGAAATCACACGATTAAAAACAAACTCTAATTCAACGTGATAATAAATAATTTACTTTAACATGAATGTTGAACTGTCACGTGGCTGTATATGGGGATACCAGAAGGAAAAAAATATTTTAAGATTATGCACATTTAAAAAAATTGGGGTCATCATTTTATGTGCGAACTATTAATATTAGATTTTGCTGTAACCAAGTGAATACTGAAAAATTAAGGCTTTTCCCTACATAATTTATTAAAATATCTTTTAAAAAACGCAGTACAAAAACTAAGAAAACTTAATGATACACTCTATCGTATGTCTGTGGAGTAATATAATTAAGCGAGGGAAAGTGTAAAAAAAACAAAAATTAAGAAAACAACAGAATTTTTGTATTAATTACATTAAGCCTAATTTGTATTTTTTTCTTACTGGTATCATTCCAATTGTGCATATTAGTGATGTGACATATTAGTTGATAAAATAAGAGCTTTAAATTTTGTTATGAAACAGTTCAATGTATTTTAGTTCGACAATTTTCTACAGTGGTTTGATAGTAATTATTTAAAGCTTTATTCAAATAAAACGAAATACATAAAGTTTGCATTACCTAATGTGAGGCATGTTAATATACTTATAAACGTAAATAGTGAAAAAGTTGAGATGGTGGAATCGACAAAGTTCCTTGGTATTTTGGTATATTGATAATTTGTCAAGTAGACTGAGTTCTGCAGCATTTGCTGTTAAGAAAATTAGACTCTTAACAAATGTTGAAACGGCAAGATTGGTATATTTTAGTTATTTTCATAGTGTAATGAATGACGTATAATCTATTGTTATGGGGTTCTGCGGCTAGCATTCAAGATATTTTTATTCTACAAAAGAGAGCTGTCCACGCTATATATAATTTACGGTCTAGAGAATCTCTCCGAGAAATATTTAAAGAAATAAATATTTTGACTGTTGCCTCTCAATACATCAATGAAAATATTATGTACGCAAGAAAACATTACGATTCCTTCACAAAAAAAAGTAGAAATAAAAATAAACTTGCCATTCCAAGTGCTTGTAATAGCCTTCTTGAATAAAGATATTTTCATTTCATTTCATAATAACTAATATGATCATTACACTAATAAATTGATCATAGCCATGTTTGTTTTACTTTATTATTCTAAGTTTTATATCTGTAATAATAGTAGTAGCTACATTATTAATTGCAACGACTGGACAATAAGAAATTGCTGGTCAAGTATGAGTTTGAAAGCCGTGATAAAAAAAGTTTGAAGATAGACACAAAAGCGATAAGTACGTACAAACGTCAATCTACATATAAAGTCACATCCGTTTGAGACATGCGTCTATAAACTTATGTGCAAATATGGAGCAACAAAAAAACTGATAAAAGCTGTTCTGTGGGCGGTTCTTTAAAGTGGCTTTCTTAACTCGATTTCTATAATAATAGTTTCCGATTATGAATCAGCATAATAAGGTAAATTAAATTGACGCCTAAAAATTAATTTTGTAAATTAAATTCACACCACCAACAATATTACGTTAGTTGAAAACATAATTTTTTGTTTGTATAGATATTATGTTGTTTTGAAATTCATTTGATAGGTTTAGGTCTAAAACAGATAGGGCAAAATTAATTATGTAAACAAGGCAATCCGTTGTAAAGTTATTAGGGAAACTGAAATATAAGTAATGCAAAATAAGTGAAATCCAGTTTCACCAGTTTCTAACAAGACCTATTAGGCCAACTCTTAGCTTTTCACGAATTTTCGTTTAATTTATGTATTGTTCATAAAACGGTGATATACTTCGTAACTTAGATATTTATAGCACATCAGTAATTTTTAATATTTATCTGCGTGTAAATAATTAATCGAATCTTCGTAAAAAAAGTGCCTGGACAGTTCATTATTTCATTTGTTCAGTATCAGTTCATCTATAATTTTCCCTTGTAAACAGTATTTTTTAGTTTTATATAATTATGGCATATATTTATCGATAACGTTGTTATGAAATGATGAAAGAAAAGCTCTAAATAAATATGTTTTAGTTATCGATTACGATCCATATAATTAACAATACGATTCCGAGCAGCAGCAGCCTATCGGTACATTTCAGACAAATGGAGGCACAGCACTATTTTTTGCAAAAGTGCACAAAATGATTTACATTGCTGTTTAGTAATGGGGTCAGAAACATTGATGTTGGTTTGAGCAATCAATGTATATTTTATTTAACATTGTGTCAAATTATTACGTTTTTTTATATTTTAGCACTAAAATTGTACTTACCAGTGAAAGGAAATGTTTGCATTAGTTAGATTGTATACTTTGCTTTGCTTTTTGCAAGTGATAATAGCTGAAAACGGCATTTTTTATAGAAAAAATCTGTAAAATCACCACTCGACGATTGACGAACGACTGGCAAACATAAAACCGAGGAAAGGGCGTCATATGAGTAAAAGCGCATATGCCAGCGACGCGTGCCCCGCCCACTTACTACTTCTATTCTCTCTCTATGTTCTGTGGTAAAGACGGATTCTCGTCAGTTGAACTATTTTTTCTAAGCTGTTTTGCTTACTACCGAAATTCAAAACTATAATTTAAATATCAACTTCAAATTAAATACAGTTATTGTGATAATTATTCCCCATATTAAGGGTAAGTGTTGTAAAGAAACCTTATAACATAATGTAATTTTCTTGCTGTAGTTTTAGCTGTGTAATGCAAATCACTCATTTTATTAAAGGTCACCTTCACTTATATGGCATAGTTTCATCAAACAATTGAACTTGCTTTCTTTTAGATTTGTATATTTGCCTATGAAGATTTTAATGTTTTAATGTGCGTTATATTGAATTGGGCGACCTTCATCTTTAATATTCTAAATTAAAACATATTGGATACCTATTGTTAGACTTATCTAGAAATAAGTATTTATTGGACAGTGTTTCGTGAGACCTCTACTGTTTTAAATTTAAATGCGTTTATTAATAAAGCAATTACAGAAATAGGTCTCACGAAATAATTTTGTAGGATTTTTTTTATGAGTACCTTACCTGTAATAATTTTCATTATTCAAATTTTATTGCCTCGTCATTGATCACTATTTCATGCAATTAGTTTACCATCTGCACCTGTAGTTCGCTTCGCTTCTCCATCTCTTCGGCTGCAGTTTCACCGATGCATTATAATAGTGAACAATATTAAAATACCCGCTGTTACGCTATTCCAGGGTGCACCCCTACAGCAAGGCCGATTGGATATAGCTTTGGAGAAGGCCATCTCCTAGTACATCACGCCGTGGACGGACTCCCCCTTTGCCAGGGCAGTTGTATTCTCGAATTTTTTATTGCGCATCCGATTGTCGAATAACGAATCCACCCCCATGTTAATTATATTTATTAATAAATTGTAAAACTGTATAATCTATCTCATTTACTATTTCCAACAAACCGGTACAAACTTTCGCAATGCCCGGGCATAGAATGGGTGACCAAAAATTTCTTATCACGAACACCTCCGTGCGTCGGAAGGCACGTTTAGCCATTAGGCTCGGCTGCATCTGGAGCCATTAATACCGCACCAATCCGCTCTGGGCCCGCGTGGTGGGTCATGGCCCATTCTCCATATTCGATTCGATTTCATTCCACCCAAAGGACAGGCCTGAGCTCCAGCACTGGGGGCATTAATAGGCTGATGATGACGATGTGAATATTTCCGTACCTGATCTCGACCGTCGTACAGCGCGGGCGCCGCCTCCCCCACCAGTGTAGGTGGATCATGTACGGGTGGACGCGCGTCGTAACTAGTGCACGTGCGACCTGCCCACCCACCGTGTCCACGCACGCGAACGGGCGTGCCTAGCCTAGACGTTATATATAAATATAACACTTAATAATACATTAAGGTTTCTCGAAATGTTAGATCGATCAACCCACGTAAAAGATTCCAGATGATAGCGAATCCCTTAATCCATAACATAAGTATTTCCAATGTGTCTGCAAAACGATATATCGACAGAAGATACCATCACTCACGCAATCCCGGATTGCGACAGCCTGGCATCATCAGGGACACATACTAGGCAATCTTGATGGACTCAATCACAATCACTCCGCAAAGCCTGTGAGTACCTAGTTTAAATGCTTCTGCGCATCTACGAAGTAGGATTGGCTGGAGTAAGACAGGAAACTTTTCACACACAATAGAACGATTAAATGATTGGAGCCTCTTTATCTAATCTGGATCAAATAGGGATGATGACTGGGTAAAAAAAATGCAATTCTATTTAGTCCGTCATGTAGATAATAGAAAAATATTATATACGTAATTTTTTTTTTACTTCAATGTACCAAGAAATAGCTTAGATAACAGGCATTAAAGTTGAGGAGTGGGGGCTCGCTACGTCACAGTTGAGTAGAAAACGTACCCTAACGTCACGTCATGCGAAATTTCAACTCCATGTAACGCCGTAATTTTATGATTACGAAAAAAATAAAAAAAAATACGTGTTTAATATTTTTTAACACACTACCTGACGGACAAACAAACAAAAAATAGTAATCATCCCTATTGTCATAAGCTGATTACAGCTTAGAGTGACCGTCAGGTCGCTCTAAATGTTATTAATATATATATATTATAAATCCCAGTGTCCCTTGGTCACGCCATCACACGTGAACACCGACTAAGCTTATTCTTTTTGTTGTATTTATTGTCAAGAGAAGGTTGTGATGAAGAAAAATAAGAAAATTGTGTAGAAAATTTGAAAATTCAAGAATATTGAACCACCATATAAAATGATTTCTAATATATCCTTAGTACTTTGGATAATATAAACTTTTTCAATGTAACCTTATGACTTTTGACAATGAATTGACAAAATGAGTGCTACAAAAATCGTCAAATAGGATGTAAAAATGACTGTTCGAATTCAATATTCATAATTAAGATAGAACAACGTCTGTCGGGTCAGCCAGTAAATAAATAAATAAAATATAGGAATATCATATCATGTACGAACCCGCGAAGCATACGTATGAAGCCAGGCGGCACGCGTGTACAACTGCGCGCGTTCGCCAGTATATCGGCGGCGGTGGTTTGTCCGGCGCGTGCGCAGAACACGTGCACAGTGAGCGGTGCGCGCCAACCGCACGCGTCTATACGTCTCAGTCCCGCCTCGAAACCGGGCAGTGAATCGTCCAACGCAACAAGGCGAGGCAGACCGCCCTAACGGACAAATTATATAAATTAATCAATATCGGACCAAATCACACGCATTGTTCAGATTCCAAGATGAGTAGGGCCTGTATTATGGAGTATAAACAACAACATACCTTCGTTGTCGTTTATACCACAAAACCGAGACCCAAGAAAATATAGAAAAGTCCATTTTCGACACTGACCCCGACCGGGAATCCAAACCAGGACCTCAGAGATGGCGTCACTTTGAAACAAGCCAAACCAAAGGCAAACTTGAAATTTAGTACATTGTAAAAAATAATTTAAAGAATAACATAAAATCCCGACTACGTAGAAACGAATTTAAAAAAATACATGAAAGAATTAACTTAAATAAAAACTAAAAAGAAAGAAACAAGCCCAGTAGTTTAGAATTCTGTTAAGTAATACAGAACAGAACGACTCATAGTCGGGGCCCATTCAAAATTTACCAATCAAATCTTCCGAAGGGGCCCCGATTTCATTGAGGGAGTTAATTTCGTGGGGATTATTAAGTAACTTGCGGTGGTCTAAACTACTGATAATTAGTCCCTCTAGAGACCTAACTCGGCTCAAAGCTACATATGCTTTATTTTTTTACCAAAAATATTTGTTCTTCATGCTTTGTCACTGTTTTTTTTTGTTTGTATATTGTTTATACTTTAAATAAAAACTTTAATCAATAAGTAAGAAAATTTGTGAGAATGTTTTGTTAAACAACTTTAAATCGTTATATATCCTAAACTATTATTTAAAATGAAAAATGATAAAAGGAACCTAAAAATGATTTTAAAATACCCATTCAACGACACCCCACTTGACATAGTTCATCGATTTTTATTTTTTTCATTTAGACAATATGGCGTCTGGTTGACGCTGTGGTGAATTTTGTACGTTGAAGTCTATGTGCATAGACTGATAAACACATTACCCTCCTTTGCGTCGCGCAGTCGGGTAAAAAGGACATAGAATTAAGATCAACAAAAAAGTATATGTAAATGAGTATATGTTAAACATATATGTCGTACTGAAACGATTGTTTACCTTTTTATCACCACCTATATTTAGATACCCGAAGTGCGATAGAAACAGCCTAGCAGTCTGAAACTCGGTCACTGGTTCTGGAGGTACATATTCTTCGGGCACCTAAAATAATGTTTATTAATTACTAAGGTTCTTGGAACCACATAAATATATATAACTATATAAGGTGGCATACTCATGGCAAACCATATAAATATATAAGGTGGCATACTCACGACATTATCTTCGCTTTCTGTAACGCGTTTCTCGATAATCGTTTGCTGTTCTAGAAGTTTGAAAAGTGTAGGCGCTTCAGGATCGTTCAGCTGACGAAGAACCGACTCTAAGCTTGGGAACGCTGAATCACTGGGTATATAACGAAAAATGACAAGTATTAATAACGTTTATAATATAAATCAAATGACTCCACTTATAATGGCAAAACGCTCGCTTTTGCCTCCAGCAGGCGGCGCTAGTGGGTTTCATGGATCAAATTAAAAAAAAATGGTGCTATCTAGAAAGACAGTATATACTAGTGTGAGTGTATACTGCAACATATTGATGAAAAAAAAAAATGGGTGAAAATATGGTTATTGGATCGTTAAACAATTTAAAATATAATCGAGAAGTAAATCTGCAAAAGTACTAAACGAAATAACGAACTATTACACCCAAGACTTTAAGCCAAAGAGTAAGGCGGTCGCACCCCTGTCACTTACGTAGCACAGGGCGGTGCCGCGTACGGCGGTCGGCAGGCGGGCTGCGCGGGGCGGGGCGCGGGGAACATGTCCACGGGGCGTGCGCACGCTCCCCCCGCACCCCGCCCCGCACTGCGGGCGGCGCCGCGGCTGCTCAGTGACCACGCGAATCTACCCCAGCCGCAGCGGATGATCACTAAGACATGGCATAAAAATAAATGTAAATAGTCGATGTGAGATCTAAATAAAATTGGGCTAACTTCCTTTTGCATTTATTAGAATAATTTTTCATCTTTATCGAAATAAATATTTTTACAAATATTTAATCAGCTGTTTGGGTGGATTTCCTCAACATAAATGAAAATAGAGAGTATTTTCAATAGCGAAAATGTAACAATTGCTTGAAAAATTCGTCAGTTCCTAGGTAGCTTAGAGTGCCAGGGCTATATGGATGTTTTAATCATTTTTCATTATGAATATTTCTTTTGCATATCAAATTAAATCTATACATAGTATAGAACAAAGTCGCTTCCCGGTGACTATACACTGAAATCTTTTGACCTTCACCATAGTATAAATATATAAATAGGTGCACTCGAGACCCGAGCGAGAGATAATAGCCTAAACATGTAGGGCTGTCGCTTATAGGTTATTTAATCGTCAGAAATGCATGGTCAATCAATCTCTAAAATATAGTTTCCCCCGGTATGGTAAGCATCCGGGAACTATAATACAACTTTTTAATGTTTTTTTTTAATATATATATCAGGAGCTAACTACATTTTTTCATACCTACGTAATGTCATCAATTTAGTGTTTTGTAATATTAGTGGAGTGCCTGGGGCGTTAAAAACATGAAAACCTCGGATTTCTGTTACAGTTAATGAAATTTTATAATTTAAAGTGGAATGTTTAGCTTATAATATATATAAAAAAGTTTACCTATTAAAACATTGTGATTTCGAGTTAAAAAAAATGATAGTTTTAATGATACAGTACCTCATAATATTAGGCTGTAGAACATTTTCTTCACCAAATTTAAATTAAGTTATACCTATACTTAATCATATAGAGATAGTAATAAGGAAAATGAAGGAAAACGAAAGAAAAAAAATGTATCAAGAAATTATTTGTTTTTTTAAACAATTAACATTTTTCTCTATTTAAGTATTTTCTTTTACTTCACTTATTTCAATGATTAGTGGAGCATTAAAACAAGTATTTTCGTTGCACTGTAGACATGCTACACTGCAGTATAAGCCACTCTTTCGACATCCACAAGCAGCTCCACAACCCTTTTTGCAGCTACAAAACAATATTTGCAATAATCTGGAGCTGGTGATTGATTCATTGTTATTGGGATAAGTATATCATTAAAATACTTCCAGCCCCACTTTGCAATGTCTATATTTTCAATATCTACATTTCCTAACCATAACTGGATTTGTAGATATACTCTTTTAAGGTCAAACGCTGCATCAGCTGTAGGGGCAGTGGCGGTGGGCGGAAAATTTAAGGGGCGGCAAATATGACCCAATTTATATATATATATATATATATATATTATTTAAACACTTTATTGCACAAAAACCACTCTTACGAACGTAATCCCTATATGAAAGATCACTAAACGCTCTGTAAAATATAGGTACTTATGTGATAATTATTTTTTATAATATTCTAATAGCGTTTTAATATTACAATTTAAATTCTATAATTATGTGACTTATTTATTTAACATTTAAATACTTATTTTCTTCTATATAGGTACGTATGTATTTACGTAGTCGTTTTGAGTTGCGGCGCAGAATACTACATTGTGGAATGAAATAAAATAAATAAAGAAATACACTTGAATATATCACTTCGCATGACTCTATCACCATAATCAGCCTTGTTACGTCTCCACTGCAGAAGCTCAGGCCTTCCTTAGGGATGTTTAAGACGATGATGGTATGTATTAACGACTACAGACGCAGCAGGACCAATGGCTTAACGTGCCTTCCGAAACAGGAGTAGATTGGGATAAGATTTTTTTAGTCACCATGTCTCTATGGATTGCGTAAGGTCGTGGTTTCAAATCCCATCTTATAGTACCAGGGAAAAAATGGACTTTTTAAGCAATTTCTATCAAAATTGAATAGTCTACGCGCGACAAATTTATAAATCCGCCACTGTGTAGGAGGTAATGATGACAAAAGATAATTTGGTCATTCCTTTTACAAAGAAATTGAACCTCAATGAACCTTAATCTTTAATTATCTAGGTACCTATTGTTTAATTTATTATCTAATAATAATTATGGTCATATTATAACCATCATGATAATATAATAATCGGCAGATATTTAATGAATTACTTACCAAATGAACAAATAAAAAATCTTACATAGAAATTCAATAGAAAAAAAACGTCTTCAATAAAACTTTTGTCAGAAATAAACAAAAAAGCACACAACTTTTACTCTTAAATATATACAACATGCACAGAACACGTGTCGTTTATAAATAAAAAGTAGCTAGAAAAATCCTGTTCAGTTTTGGAACCGCTGCCGTTGTCACTCTCATCTCCACCTTCTACTACCTGTCCAAGGTCATTATGACCCTTCATACGCTTCAATATTTAAAAAAGTATTCTATTATGTCTATTTAGGTATTATTCGACGTATAGATACGAAAAAATATATTTCTAATAAAATTACATACTTTACAATTATTTTTTTTATAAATTTTGTTTAAATAATAAAAAAAAAAATCAAAAGCACAATTTTTTTTGGGTAAACTTTACACTTTATAGTCTAAAGAAGAAAACCCCCCTCAATCATTTAAATTCATTCACTGTAACAAAAGTCTGAGGTCAAAACCCCCAGACACTCCACTATATTAAAACGTGGTTTTAATGATTTATTATTTTTTTCCAAATAATTAGGCTACGAACAAAATAAGAGTATGGCGATCTTAATTTTTAATAATCATGTGCTTTGTACAAACAGTTTCTATCAATGGCCCTTATTTTTTTATAATACGCAAATATATAATTCAATATCAATTTTAATTTGACCATATACGGGCACAGAGATTTAACAAATTAAACTACAAATTGATATCTGGTAAACAAAATCTTCAGCAGAAATAATTCATAAACACTTTTGATGGGTAAATAGTTACACAATATTATAATTACTTATGATATTATAATAAATTACCCGAATATCTAAAGAACGAAATACTAGATACTTGATCTATAAAAATGTGAAATACTATATACTCGATTCATAAATGCATACACAATATTTTGGTTTAGTTTTCAAAGCCATCTATCTTGTTTACGTCCACAAATTTTATAACGAGCGGCAATACAGCGACGCGAGATATACGCAAGCACGGCGTACTAACCACGACTGGCGAGCTGACTGGTGTCTTGAACTTCTATAATTTCGATAATTTTGTAAGTTTGTGCGTGCGACGACGCATACGCACGGGTGTGCTCACATACAAACCATTTTCAGTGCGTATGTATGAAGAACACTTACTCTTATACTCTGCCTTCACAATTGATTTTAATGCGGTTTTCAACAATATATAGAGTGATTCAAGACGCAGATTTGTGTGTATAATACAGGACTGTCTGGTGAAGTCGCTGGCGGAAAGCTGATATCATATATATGCGACTTATATTTTTCGAGTAAATGCCAGTAGTCTTTAAATGAAAACGAATAATAATAATAATAAAATTACTTGACCACGTGTGTAATACCGGTACTAAATATAACACGGGACACAAAGGAACCGTCACGACTGAGGGCGACCCGACTAGATAGATAGATAAATTCTTTATTTGCATCATGCATACACAAAATTTAACAATTTGGATTTTACACAATATTAGAAACTAAAACAGGACAATCAAACATTATGTGTACCGCAGCGATGCAAATGGGCGAAAACTCAGTGAGTATTTACTCAAAGAGCAAATCACTGATTTTCAGTTTTTACCCTAATTACAAGTGGTCGCACTGTAAATATTAAAAAAATTCAAGAATTCACAAAGACATTGATAAAAGAACTACAATACTAACCAGACACTACAAAAATACTAATAAATACTTACTAACTAAAATATGCGACAAACGTATAAGATATATAGATTAATAAAATAAATAAATAGATAGTAATATCCATTATTAATTTGGTTCATTTGTCAAGATCATTCAGAGTCACAGAGTAATCGTTAATATTACTATTACTACCGCTATCAAGCGACTAATTGCCGGGAACTTGATTTTTTAGCAACCTAGATCTCAAATGCATTTTAAAAGTTCGTCTACATTCGACTAGCAATTTAATGATTTTTTAAGATTGTCAAAATATAGAATCAACTAAAAATATTAAACACATCACACTCACCAACCAGCGTCGGTTGCGGTTCCTGACTGTTAGCGAGCGGTTCCTCCAGCAGTGATAATAGCACGGATCCGTCTGCTACGAAATGCCTCAGCCGACCGTGACCCAGCGCACGCAGCCAACGTTCGTCTAAACGGCACCAGCGAGCTCCGCCATCCACACCCCCTACTCCCACCTAAGCACATACATAAAATCACCTTTAACTACCCCGCTACTAAGAAGGCAGTACGGCTCTCCCTATGCATGGAAGCCCAGTGTGAATCGGTGAGTTTCGGTAGTGAAAAATAAGTTACGAATTTGCACAAAAACCTTAATTTAAATCGTAATAAACATAAAGATTCTGATGTTGAGTCTCAAAATCACACCATTATTTTTTATTATCTTAAAATTAAAAGTCGAGATTTTTTGTCGGCGTGTCACGTGACTTGCAAAACGACCCGCCATTGTGTGACGTCACTGTGGAGACAGCTGTCAGATTAGTCATAAAGATATGCCTATTAATTATAAATCAAATTCCTAGACGGCGCTGTTGTTAGCGCATTTATATAGTTTTATTTCGAAATCGCTCGTTAGACGACTAAACGACGTTAGATCGTTAGACGGCTCTGTTCTTGTTTATTGACACCTGTTAATCTTCTACTGTATGCATATATTTTGTGTAAATATCAGTGTCAAAGAATGACGTCACGAACATGACGGTCAGCGTTTTAAATTTTGAATTAATTTTAAATAAAAAAACGTGTTATTTTTCGAAATATAAGTTCTATGGCTTTTTTTTTTGTAAATTAAAATAAACACTCACAAGTATAAGTATTAAGGAGTAGAATACTCTACAGATGGTCACGAGAGCAACAGCTTATCGTGTTTTATATAGGTCATATTACCAATTTAATTTAAATTGTGAACCCAATAGGTTCGATGTGCGTCAGCTCTCATTAGGCGGCAGACTTTACACATCGAATGGTTCGAATGCAGACAAAATCCAATAAATATGGTGTGTTGTAAATATTAATTCGCTAAGGTCAGACTTTGAGATCGACAGAAAACTGAGAAAAATTATTCTTGCCATCTGACAAGTTACATAGGGTACATAGACCAACTCAGTACCTAGTCTATCCATAAATTCTGTTACTGACTGTTAACATACATAAAAAAAAACATTAAATTGAATTTCGCACGTTAGCTTCTACGATAAAAAATAGACTTCTTTCCCGCTATTATTGTATGTTTTATGTTTAGAAATTATTTGTTGTGAAAATGGAGTGGGGCACTAAAGAGAATAGGATTACAGTAATTGCACTGTACAAAGTAGAAGGAGCCACCCGATATTTTTGATACATTGAAGAAGCTAGAGATTAGCCGAATGTTTGTGTATCGTACCATCCAAAGGAACACTGAAACCATGTCTGTTGATGGTCGTGAGAGATCCGGCGGAAAACGAAGTGTGGACATTCCAACAGGATTCAGCCCCGGGTCATAAGGCGCGCACTACCCAAATTTGGCTTGAGCAAAATGTTCCAGACATCATAAAGGCTGATGATTGGCTCTTGGCTAGTCCGGTCTTAAACCCTTTGGACTATAAATTGTGGTCTGTGCTAGAGGATATGGTTTGCTCTAAGCGAGCCAAATATTGAGTCGCTCAAGAAATCTTTGCAGGCAGCAGTGGCCAAGTTTCCAATAGAAACCGTTCGTAAATCCATCGACGAATGGCCCGACCGTTCAAAAGTGTGCGTTAAAGCTAAATGTGGACACTTTGAAAAACTAGTTTAACATATCTTTTTCACTCTACATTATCACATATAAAACTTTAAAATAAAATATTATTTTTTAAATTATCGGATATTTTCTTGGTAACAGAACTTATGGATCCGATGGCTCCTTAGACGCAAAAACATTCGTAATGCCCTCGGTTGGGAGTAATACCCAGGTACCCATTAGAATGGACCCTGACTAGTTACCTATCAATTCTGATGAATGACCGGATGTGAATTTAAATTTTATAATCAATTTTGTTTTAATACCTATAACATGTAAAGTATAACGTACGTACTAGGTTTCCGTCTCAATCACATCTGACGGCGGTCAGGCGTGCTAGTGGCCCGATGGTATATATAAATTCCTGTTTGTTATAAAATTATGTTACCTGATCTAATATGAGCATCAGTAACGACTCTGCAGCATCACGAACACGCATTGATACGGGTTTCAGTTCCTTCTCATCCTTCATTTTGGGTGGTTCTCCAGATTTACCTGATATCAATTGTCAAATAATATGACTAAAAGCTTTATATCCTAGTAGGATTACATAGTATGAGCATAAAATAACAGGTTTCCTATTATTTGTAAAAATGTTTTAATTCACATTTAGGGTAAGGGGGTTTAAACTCTGTAATAGTAATAGAAAACAAAAATGAATTTATTTTAAGAAAAAATTGGTGATTATATATATAATTATATAAATAATCACTAAACTGTGCACATACGAGGTTTAAATAAAACTATTCTACAATCACTAGTATATACACAAGTATTGCTGTCAATGGGACGCATTAATATTTTAGTTTTTTACCTTGGCTCTTTGTGCCAGAGATGCCCAGCTCGACCACTTCCATGAGTGTAGCCAACCATTCAGCGTCGGCCAGTAACGCGGGGCACAGCCATGCAGATAAACAAGAGTACGCCGCCACAACGCACGAATGCAGATCGCGGGAATGAGCCTGCGGCGGTCTACTGCACTGTACCACTATGTAATCGCATATCCAGCGTACGGCGCGCTTGCGTTCAATCGCCTCTGGTAAATATAATGAAAACGTATTATGTAAAAGAAGATGTAGGAAATGAAGTATGAATAAACTTTCGTATATTTACAGCTTTCAATTTGGAGTGTATAAACAAGTAACATCATATTAAACACAAAAAGACAACAAAAAAACTGGATTTATGTTACAATCAACTAAGGCGCATTAATTGCAAACCTAGATTAAAACAAACCTACAATACATAATAATTTATCTTTAATAGACTGACTGTTTTATAAAAATGTAATATGATATTGCTATTGCCTCGTTAATTTTCCAACATAAAATAAGAAAGGCAAAACGTTAATTTTACGTCGAAAATTATCATAGTGTTGCCATAATACAACTTACCAATGACATAGTCTAGCAAGCGTGTAATCAAAGAGTGTTAACGTTAGCTTGAAATATTTGCTACTCTGAAAATTAAGAAAATGATAGCTCTTCTGTTCTATATTTTTTTCTTATAATAAAAAGTGCAATGAGTATAAATAAGTAAGCTAACTGACCTGGTTTAGAAGAGTGTAATTTGGCTAGACCGGAAAGCAATTCCAGGGCAGCGAGCGATACTTGCAGATCGCCTTTCCACGACGAGATCAGCCGGTGGCACACCAGGTACGTTGCGCGTACCACCAATGCCGCCCCTATATGCATACCCAATGCTCGAGTTATACGGAGTTATAAGTCCGAATTTGATGGCCTATCTATAAAATTCAGACAAATGCTTCTGGGCAATATTGTCTAACATTGTTTGGTATTTTGTTTTGTTTCGAATTTTAATGGTAGATTTTTTGTGATTAGATTTTTTCAATCATCATAATGTTTAAAAAAAGATTTTTTTTCTACAAGTTATCGTAGAAAAAAAAGGAATGGGCTTGAGATTTATTCAAACTACTCGTGTTAGTAATTTCATTCGTAACCTATTCAGATGACTAATTATTAAATGTATCGGCTGCCAGAGTTCTAGTTGGTTCTATTAAAGCCAGTAAAACTCTAATAATTGCTAGCGACGGAGCCAATCGCGTCATTCTTTTCAAATAGCCTTAAATAAATTATTACTTTTTGTCATAATTAAACATTTACGCTAATAAGTTTCTTAGAAGTATAATAGCATATAACGGAGATATCTCGAACTAGATTATAAGACATCGAAATCATATAAATTAGAACATCATTGACCAAAAATCTGAAATTAAACGTTAAAAAATTAACGATTGCAAGCGATAAACAACAACAAATTAAAACAAAAAAGCCAACATAATAGAATTCACATGCATTGAATAATGTGTACATGAAGTGTGGCATTTGATAAAATTCTTATTTTACATGAAACGATTCCTACTTTTCACAGGATTGCTAGAAGATTTTCTAGAGTCAACAGAGACAGTATCATAATTATTTATCAAATGCCAAGGTAAAATGTTGCAAATAAAACTCAAAGTTTACCGAAAACTGGTGAGGATGGGTCTAGCTCTCTCACATCAGCGGCGAAGTCATCAAGTGAATGCCCCTCAGAGCTGCCCGTCGCACTGCCCGTCTCCGAACGCGCTAGAAAACCCGCTGCATTCTCATCTCATGTACAACCTCATTCTTAACGATGGGAAGATAAACTTACCCACCTGCTGTAAGCTCTGTCACCCATAACACCAGACAATAGGGGAAAGTTACGCTACTTTTGAATCATGAATCTTATTTCATTGTAATCTTAGCTCGTAAATTATAGTCAAAACTACATAGTATTGTATTGTAATGTTGCATAGAGTACATTTTGAGTGTTTCAAATTACTTGTATATGGATGAATTTATTTAATGAAGTGGTCACCCTATCTTGAAGGTCACCTAAAAATAATAGTTTGTTATTGATATAACAAAACTAAGTAAGAAGCCTACATAACAATAACTACTATCTTTCACGGTTGCATTCATCAACACTCATACTTTTATTAAAAATATATATATCGAAAGAAAAGAATAACAAATATTACACAGATCAAATATAAAAATTATATACCATATATAGTATTTTAATTGGGAGATTAGTTATACAGGTAATTCAGAGTAAATTATACAATATTATTACATCGACCTTTCATAAATTCCATGCTTAAAATACTCTCGCAGCATTCAGACGATTATTCTATTGTAAATGGGAGACGTTTACAGTTTGTCTGGTGTTTGCTAGATTGTGTGTTACTTTGATTGTTGCAAAATAAATATGGCATATAGCGCAACTGTGAATATAGTGATAATGATTGATGACTTGCATAATATGTGTGAACTGATAAATCAAAGTTTAGTGTAAAGCTCGCAACAAATGAAAGTATTGTGTGAGGCTCGCATTGAATGAAAATATGACATATGTGTAGTTTGCATTCTTACTTAACAAAAAAAAAAAACAAATTGATATTCAGAAAAGTTCCAATATCTTTTTAATCTTAAAAGAGCATAGCTTTTTTAGGTTTGGACGTCATGTATTAGTCTAATAAAATATCAAAATTCGACTAAGTACCTGCATTACAAAAACTTACCGATATAGTATTTTACGGTAATATACTTAATATATTAAACGCAATATAACTGTTACCTGATTCTTACGAAATGACTGTAGTGCTTAATAAAACGCTATTATCAAAGAAGAAAGTTCCAGTTACTGTTTCTAGGATTCCTTACCAAAACCCTATTAATAATACTTCCTATTAATACTGTATTTCTGTCACCAGGCTATACCTCATGAATCGTGACAATTAGACAGTTTAAATTTTGATAAGACTATGTATTTATGTTGCCGCTAAACTCCCATAGAGCAAACGTGACTATTTTTGCTCGTTTTCCCTTCGTGCGTGAGTCCGAAGCGCACTCGGCCGGTTCTTTTTTTTTTAAGTATTTTTGTTTTTAATTGGATGGCAAAGACACAAGGACGGATCCAGCTTTGGCATCAGAGGGCGGTCGTATACTTGTGGTAAATTCATAAGAAGATAATTTTGATAATAATATATACAAAATATTATATAATTTTAATTAATAGTCCACCTAGGTCCTGGGGGGTGGGGCTTTGACCCCCGTGACCACGCCCCTGGGTCCGCCCTTGCAGACAGTCCATACCTTTATAGTCGGTGCTGTGCGAGAGAGTAGATCCGGGCGCGGCGTTAGTATCGCGTGGTTGAGCACTGTGCCGTACGCACAAGTACAAAGCGCTCAGTAGCGGCACAGCCAGAGCATCGGACCATTCCACTTGAACTGCCGCCACGCACATAAGCGACAATCTGCTTCGCGTGATATCACCGAGGGTTTGACCCGCGCTATAGACAAACCGAATTCAATAAACCATGTATGCCTACAATAGGGTATTCAACTCTATTTGAAATAGTACTTGTAAGTGTTTATTTTAATTTAAATTGTAAGGGTGCGTCGTATAACCGTTTATTTAGTTCTAGAATTCCGCATGCAAGCTTTTTGTCTTTGATCTTCAACATTATTTATTTTAATTAATGTCGGTTCGTGAAAATTCGTCGAGTTAGAAACATTATACATACCCGACACTCCCGAAGTTCCTGGAGAGTACTATTTGTCTTTCATATGATGTAAAAAAAAAATATATGTCTAGGTCAAATAGTTTCGGAGATATTCAATTACAAAGTTTTTGGAAAAAAATGAGTGTTTTCAACCCTGATTCAGCTGTTTTTGGGACGTACTAAGGAAAAGTTTTTAATCGGTCAATGACTTCTTCATTTCTAAAAACGAAATAAACTAGTTTGTGATTTATAAGACTGCTTTCATGAAAATTCTACCAGACAATCAATAAACAAGGCAGTCAAAATGCTTAAATCGATTTACAGACTTAAAGCCGGTTTCTGATTTGAAAAAAGTAGAAAATTTCTACTGTTTATTCTCAATAATGTAAGTTTTTTTTAATTTCACAAGTCAAATAGTCCTAGTTTTATCAAACTGCTGTCAACTGATCATCAAAAAACTAAACTCGGAAACGAAAACAAAGTGATGTTAGTTTGAGACGTTTAACTTTAAATTTTCAATTAAGAAACCAAATGTAAAATTTCCTAAATTATTGTAGAGAGAACAGTCTAATATTAACCTTTGTTATTTTAAAAGAGCAGTTCTCCAAAAAAATTGTTTGAATGGGGTAATACTCTTTTAACAACGGGATCGTTAATTAAACTCGATAAACTCATAAATCTTCCAGCGTCCATTCATTATTAACACAAATCAACTTTGATTTAAAAATATTGAGGAATTTGTTATTAAAATAGCATTTAAAAAGAACATTAAAAAATGCGTGATATCAAAAGACGAAATAAAAAAAAATGTGAACCGAGTTCGTCCCTCGATATCAAAGCCCCACCCGCCCGCCAGCCGCCAGGCGGCTTCATTATTCTGTCGTTATTGTCCGGCCGATCATAAGGTCAGCGGCGACGCTGACCTTTTGCGCTGGAGTATCGTTGCGCATCGCCGCCGACGAACCGCTGCGAATCGTCTTTTTTGTCGATTTTTGTTTTATTCTAGGGTTTTTTTAATTGAATTTTTGTTAATAAGATACTAGTGTTCGTTTTAAGTGTTAAATTTAGTTTAGTGAAAATTGTGTTTAGTTTTGTATGAAATGTGATGTGTTTTGCGCGTGCATGCACCGGCATTGCAAAGAGCGTGCTTTGCTCAGTCTTCAGAGAGGAAGTGGACATTTTCAGCATCGACTTTCATTAAGATATCGGTAAATACTTAAATTAAATTAATGTATTTCGCGGTTCGTTGTAATCTGCACACAATCGTTATTGCGCATGCGCGTTATAGGGCTGTCAACACTTAGAAATTTAAAATTTAACGTTTGCATGTAACCTAACTTGAAACTTTCGGCTGTGTCGGTCATTTTGTTCCTCCCAGTATATTTATAAATTGTTATTGAATGAAATTTAGTATGTATAATGTTTACAAAATAAGCCATAAAACAAATAATTCGAAAAGACAAACGCATTGTCTTGCCTTAAAATTAAATAAAAATTTTAACTTATTTTAATCTAGCGAAAACGATGACCGACATATTCATGACGTCATTCGAATATGTATACAAAACAGATGCACGGAACATACTATCTAATGGTCAATTACGAAATAAAAAGATGTAAATAATTTAAGAACTACGCCATCTAGGAATTTGATGTATAATGAATAGGCCATCTTTACGACTAATCTGCCAACTGTCGCTCGAGTGACGTCACACAAAGGCGGGTCGTGTTTTAAGTAACGTGACGCACATACATAAATCTCGACTTTTAATCTCTATGTTTGTTACAATGTCAATTTTAATTTTTGTGCGATTTCCTAGCTTATTTTTATACTACCGAAACAACCTTATTACTTAATTATATGGTTCCGTTTACGCTTTGTGATTCGAAAACACAATGAATTTTTTTTTAATTCAAGTTTATTAACTTCTACATTGCATTGTGAAAATGCATTATACCTCAATCTGAACTTTAAGTTAGGTAGTGAATTAGTGGAAGTTGTGAGATGGTTTCACCGTGCAGAAAAGACCTATTAGCACATACCTACATAAGAGTCAAAAGTCGAAATAGTTTGGGGTGTAAAGGGGAATCGTTTGTTTTTTAATCAAGGTGCATATATAGATTAAGCAATGATATTGGTTGATGGGGTCAGTATGCTGAGTGCGGGCGATATATGTGGACTCATCTGATTCATCGATAAATCAAAGAAAATGAGCTACAGTTTTTTTTTTTCTAATAAAGAATACACTTTGATACTTACTATTCATTGCATCCAGGGAATTCGGGTACGGGCAATCCCCTGTAGTGATAAGGGAAGGCGACCATAGATAGCAACGCACTGATGGCTGCCTTGCGAAGCTCGCGCTTATCTATGTTTGCACACTCGAGTTTCGGCTCTCGCTCGGGTAGTATACGCTCCAAGGCCGAAATGAAATCAGGAACAAGCACTAAAACGCCATCTAAATCCAATCTGTTAAAATATAGATGATTGGTTGTAATAATCTAACGCTACTACCCAATACGTAGATATGTCTATGTATCATAAATCACATAATCATCACATAAATATGTCTATGAAATTTAAACCATGATTGAAATGAAATAATAGTTCTGAATGAAATTGTTTCAAATTGTAATTTAAATTTTAAAACGCAATCATCGGCTTAATTAGACATACGGGTACCTGAATAGATCAGTAGCGTGAAGTACGACGGCGGCAGCGGTAGCAGGTTCTCTTAACCCTCGATGTATAGCAGCGTAGCATCGAGCCAGATACGGCGCTACAACCTCTTCCCGACATTGTTTAGAGCAAAGCACGCGGCACAAAGTACCTAAGGCTTCCGCTCGCCCTTCAACACCACAACAAACGTTTCAAAAATTAACAAAAAAAAATCACATCTGCTAAAATCCAAATAAAAGAAACAAGCGGTATTATGACTCGGCTAAACAAAATTCCCAATGCAATCGGGGGACCGTCCCGTGGAATAGTTTTATATTAAATTATTTATTCTATTCCTTTCAGCCTAATTAAATAATTAGGCATACAATTTTTTTCAAATTTTTTAATCGGCGTCATACATCTGCCATATTGCCAGCGCCATTGGCGGCGATATTAGTTAAGTCTTACATAAGTTACAAATAAATTCACATATATAAATGAACCCCAAACACAATATACGCCTTTATGGACACGGACAGTCATATAAAAATATAACATAATCATTATTTGATTAATGATGACAAAGTTGGATTAAAAAATATCTCCATCATACCTGGTTGATAACTCATCATATTAAGCTTGAATGCTGCATCTGACATTAGAGACGGTGGGGGAGTCCCGTCACCGCGCTCTGCAATAAAAAAAGAGACAAATATGAAAATCCAGTTTTTGCATTCTGTATTTATATATATCTTATTTGGAAGCATCACGGTTCTATATACAATATTTTCTGTTAAATCTTAGAACTAAAGGTTGACATCGTGACGAAGATTGTGTTCAAAGATAGTCATTAACAATTAAGAAAAAGATTTTTTTTAAATATTTATATTTACACTAGCTTTTCGCCAGCGACTTCGCCCGCGTAATCCCTAGGGAACTGTTTATTTGGGTATCGATTGCTGTTATCATAGCATAGTTTTTCATACATATATTTTTGGTACCTTAAACCGTTTTCGCAACGTACTCAACGGAAGCCCTCAAGGATGAATAATTTTCCCCGTTTTTTCCACATTTTCCATTATTTCTTCGCTCCTTATAGTTGCAGCGTGATGTTATATAGCCTAAAGCCTTCCTCGATAAACGGTCTATTCAACACAAAAAGAATTGTTCAATTCGAACCAGTAGTTCCTGAGATTAGCGCGTTCAAACAAACAAACAAACTCTTCAGCTTTATAATATTAGTATAGATTTTAGATATTAAAGAGATAAGAAAATAATTATAAAAATTGCTAATTATTTATACAAGAGTGAATGTACTTTAATACATCAAAAAGACAATAGGTATTTACATTTTAGATTTTAATAAACAGTAAAAATGTTTCAAATCACGTAGCGATGTATAGTTCGATTTTCAGAACGAATCTTTTCCTCATTTCCCGTAGGTAAAATAAGTTTTCGGTAGTCTAGTAGTTTCGGACTCTATCCAAAACAGTCCAATGTTTCTTCTTTATAATATTACTAGCTGTTTTCCCGCGACTTCACCCGCTTAAATTTTACCCTTTGTCAACCATGTATAATATAGCTTCCAGTAGGTAAAAGAATTAAAATCAGTCCAGTAAACTCGGAGCCTGTTCGATGTAAACAATCAAACCTTTCTCTTTATAACATTACTAGCTTTCCACCAGCGGCTTCACTCGCATAGTCTAGAGAACTTTATTTAGATATCGATTGAAATGGATATAATTACAATGACAGATTGAATAGTAAACAATGGTTACGTTTTAATTCCCCATATAAACTTCCACTCTCATTTTCATGTCTTTATTTGCATAAAGTTTTTTTTAATAAAATATAGCCTATGTTAACCGCATATGATGTAGCTTCCCGTAGGTGAAAGAATTTTTAAAATCGGTCCAGTAGTTTCATACAATGAAATCTGTCCTATTTATTATATTAGTATAGATAAAAAATTAGCACTTACGCTGATTATTAATGTGTGGTGTGGTGCCGATCAGTGCCGCCTCAAACAACCATTCGCCAAACAGATGGAATATCGAATTAACCTTCGGTCGCAATGGAGTCAACGGAGGTTTCTCTGCTTCACAAACTGTTATAAATGTTATTGTCGTTGCACTTCAAGCAAATTGATATATATTGTATAGTATTATGGGCAAAGTTTGCGTACCGAGCAGAGTCAGCATAGCTAGTTATTAAAAAAAAAATGAATTCACTGGAGCGCCTTCCTGCCCATTAATACTTCCTCGGACACAGAACACAACGCTCGAGAGTGCTTAATAATTTACTGCTCAATGTGAAATATATTTGAATACTTTATGATTTTCTGTTTCCAAAAATTTTACACAGCATGCTCTCTTATCCCACATCACTCTAATGTTCAGTGCCTTCACACATTTATCACAAGTACTTAATTTTTTTTGCGAGATTACATTTCATATATATTAATGAAGCAGAAAAAAGGGACTAAATTAAATGCTTTGAACCCTTTAAATTACATTCTTGAGATGGCATGGTGTATGGGCATACGGAACAGTGTGGATAAAAAACTTATCGTTAAAGTACAAAATAATACTATATTACCTTGCGAGGAAATAGAATTAGGTGGTGTTGTTGGTACAACGCTCGGTGGTCGGCTGCTTGTCAAACCGATAAGAGATGTACGAGGTGTACCTGTGACATTATATTAATTACACTAAAAATATCAACAGTTCCGCTAACACCTATAGAGTGAACCAACTGAATTATAAAATCGTATGTTATTTTAGCGTTAACCCCAATAGCTTTAAAATCAAAATGTCAGTTTCTATTACAGTATATTTTTGAAACCCGTAAGCAATATTGGCCCAACACACTAAAATAGTGCAATAGTGCTATGTTATCAATATAATGTGCATTAAAAATGTGTAGCTAACTACATATAAAATGTCTGTTCACTGTGTATTTATAAATATTTACTGTCGTCTGTCTGTCTAAATTTAGTGTCAAAACAAAAATAATATCCGAAAGCTACTACACAGTTGATATGGCATTTTTAAAATGCATACTTACTCTTACGCGAGTGATAGAAACAGGCAAATTCGATGTGACTTTTATATGAATAAAATAAACGATTATATTGTTTGTGCGAAGCGAATTCATATCGAAGACAAAGGTTTTTGTATTGTTTTGTACAAAGGTTTTTGTCTCTACAGCGTCATCTATCTCTAAAAAAAAGATTTTCAATACAAAAATTTGACATCTGTACATGATATGAATTAAATAATCAATTATTTATGGTTATTTATTTAGTTTGCACTCGATAATTTGTAGTGCTAAGAGTACCGCAACTCCAAGCTTTTCAAATTTTGCTGACCTTACCTTACCTTAGTCTATTATTATTATTATAGTTATAATTTTTACTTTGATTAATAAAGAAATACTTGTAAAATGACGATGACTAATAAGCGTAGTATTGACTTGAGAATGTAATTGTACGAAATGTTACTATTTAATACACGTAATTTCTATGATCGCACATATTCATGTATTTGTATTCGTAAAGAGTACAGATTATTATTACTTATTCTATTTTATTAATATTGTTACAAACAAAAGATTAATATTAATCACTGCGTATTAAAAAGTATGATATTGATTTAAGTATGCAATCTTACAAAAGGGTACTAATCATAAAAAGTTAGTTCTAATGTCGGTCAACTATATGTGTGTGTATTTCTAAAAGGTAATTATGATTAAACAAACTCAATTTCATAATTCACAAACCTAAATGTAAGAAAATCAAAAATTAGAACATCGATTGTATTGAATACGACATCTTGCGAAAAATTATGACAGTATTGTTTTTGATTGTTGGCAATAGAATAAAAAGATGGCAAAAAAGTAACGCGAATTAATGGCGAGTCAGTGTGGAACAAAGTGTTTATCAAGTAATATTGGTTTAAATTAATGCATCATCCCAACTTCTGAGGTCGGCCAATATTACTTTTCTTTAAAAGCCTATTTATTTTTACCTTATACTAGTAATCTGGATGAAGTTTTGTTGTAGGACATTTAAGAAGCCATCGAATTTGCTTGCTTTGTCACCGGTCGGCGCGCACGTACCGCGTTCAGTTTTGGTGTCGCGCGGCCTCGCGGATGACACGCTGAAGGACTTGGCGAGGCGACGGTGCGCTGGCGGCGTGCCGGGCTCATCACCATCCGCCCCCAGGGATCCCGTGCCCGCCCCTATACCCGCCCCTGACCCCTCGTACGCCCACCACCGGTCCGCCCCCAACCCTGGGGCCGGAACCACACCCGATATACGCTCAGCCACGGCACACTACACGTCTTTACGTTTTCAATAATATGGAATATCTATGCATTTTTTATCGTGCTACTATAAACTTAATCTTGCCCCCCCTTTTTTTCTTTACAAGTAAATTATTATAAGATTACTTATTGTGTGGTCAATAAATGTGTTTCTTTCTTTTTTTAATGTTTCTAGAGAAGAATACTAGGCCTAAACATAGCCTAAAATAAAATATACTTCATTCATCGACTTATGTGAGGTAGATACAAAAATTGTTTTTACTAATAAAATTAAAAACATGAATAAACGAGACGTGTCAATGCGCCGATAGACCTTTAAAAGAACCGGTGATAAAAGAACATACACATTGGTGGCAGCTACGTCATGTCAAATGCCTGTACATTGTTTAAATGTTCTTTTACAATATGTGCCAAATAACTTTGCGGCTGTGAAGTTAGTGAAAAAGCGTCATACAATGTAGTTTTAGGTATGAGCGAAGTTGTAAGTGTTATGGAATAGGGTACTGCACATAAGAGAACTTCAGAGGCGCAAAGTTAGATGGTGCATACTATTTTACATATTATCACGAGTGCAGTAATCGGCAGATTAACCGTAATTACAAGGTGCTGTATACCGGCCTTCCTCACTTTTTATTTAAAGTTCTCATGTGTAAGCAAGAGGAAACTAAATTGCAAAATTAAAAATCAAATGCTAGGTCATAATACTTCGTGAATTAACTTTATATTAGAAGATTTTTTTTCATTGGGTTCGGCAGCCATTCAGCCTCAGGGCCTCATAACCTTTTGCTGTTTGGACACCCTATTGTGACGTTTGCGACTGAGTGCCACATGGTAAAATAGAACTAATTCACAATAGTTTCGATGGTTGATTTTATGCCAGTACTACACCAATTTGTATTCAATTCCATGTTAGTTTAACTACATCATTGAATAGTTCACCAAAATTGCTGAAATTGCTAAGACAAGTATTGTTAAAATAGGATAGAACACTGAAATAAAATAAATAGAAGATAAGGCACATAATCACTATCATAGACCACAACTCATTATTTTTAAGGTTCCGCATCATAAAACGTTTAAACTGAAACCTATGTTGTGTGTCTGAATAACAATATATATTAGGTCTTTATCTATGAAATTGCCATTTTTAATGAAAAAAATGAAGCGCTATAGTAACTCCTTTAGCCAGAGCTATAGTAACTCCTTTAGCCCGGTAGACTTCAAAAAGTCTATAATATTCCTGGCTTTTTCCATATTCACATAGGAGATGTTTTGGTGTTTCACGTTCTTGTTTACAATATCTGCAAATTCCAGTGTCACTTAGTTTCATGTTAAATAGGTGTCTGTTTAATTTGCAGTGTCCAGATAAGGTTTGTACAATTGTACTTATATTTGCTCTGATTAGCTTCAAGAGCTCTTCAGCTAGTTTTTGTGAATGACCTTCAATTAGGGATTTAGCGTGATTTAAATTCTTTCTGCATCACACAATAGGACTCTAGTCCCATTTGTACTCCCTGTGCTCCAGCACTTGCTAATTCATCCGCTTTTTCATTACCGATGATGCCCTAGTGTTCTGGTACCCATTTAAGAATAATTTTATTCTTTTGCTCCAGTTCATTCAATCTGTCAATATATTCTTTACCAGTTTCGAACTTATCACGCTCGAATGTATGGCATTGAGTGCTTCTCTATCATCGTGTTCAGTTCTTTACAATACACATCTGCAGTGCTTGTCCCATTTGGTAAGAAGGTGTGATGAATTACACCCGCGTCAGACCACCAAACAGTGACCATCACTTTTCTAGGGGTAAGTTTTCGTTTATGACATTGTTTGGGTGCTGAAACAGGGTTCAATTAACTTGCTGAGCGTTTACAACTATCAAACAGGATCCATTTCTCGTCACAAGTAACAATGCAGTTTAGAATTGCTTCATTTGTATGCGCTGGCGATCATTGTGTTCGTGGGATACCCATTTGCCAAGCTTTTATACCTCGCGAATTTGACGCAAATGGAACAATATTGTTTTGATGCTAACGTTGAAGGCTGCTGTTAATTCAGCCGTAGATTGAGTTTCATCGGCTTCCACAATCGCCTTTAATTCTTCATTGTCCACCAGTTTTCGGACGACCACGGCGTTCATTTTAACCAATAACGGGCAGTGCGTTCGTTTGTAGTATTCGCTCAGTAAACGTCGTTGATGCTGCGTGCCATTTGTGCCGCTTTCCTACCATGACAGTACTCCTACTCCATAATTACTAAAATTTTTAACTTATCCATGACGACGACAAATGTTCGAATGCGTTGAAAACAAAACACTAGCAATTAAACAAATGATGATTTAAAAAAAAAAGAATTTCATGGTTTAAAATAAAATTGATTTGAAACTCAAATTATCAGCTAAAAATATATTTTGATTTGAAATGGCCAAATCATAGTTAAAAACCTATTACATAACCTATTAGGTCTTTGTACGTCACTCGAGGAACCGAGACCAAGAATGAGATTTGACATATATTAGCGTAGTCTCACGGCTAACATCTTTTTCTCTCGCACATAATGTAGGAAGTTTATCTCTTCCTTTTTCTACAAAACAAAAAACGTATTAAACAAACCTAAACAACAGTTTATTAGTTTAGAATTTTCGGTAGTAAAGTGAATTGAGTGCATACAATAAAGTTCTGGGCAAATTTACAAAGCATCATGTGCCGTATCTTCTCATCTTAATCTAAGGATAGCAGGAAGTGCACAATTCGAAAAAAATATTGCATTTAGAAAACCAAAATATTTTGAAGAGACCCGTCGGCACCTTAAAGCTCCCAGTGCAAATCCCAAACCAAATAATACTACAAACACACCTACAGTGTTAATTTTTCGTGTTTTAAACAATTCTGTAGTGGTTTAGTCCATGCTGATTCAAATGAAAATCAGATAATATCAATCAGCACACACAAATAATGAAGAATATCAGTTTGTATGCACAATATAAAATAAAATAACTTATTTATCAGTGGTTCTTTGTTTCACACAGTAAATATTTTTTTCAACTTTTAGTAAATACTTTAACAATAAAGTAATAATAAGAATTATTGAAGGGAAAGATCTGATATTTATATATGGTACATTCTATGGACTATTAAAACATTTTTTACTGAAGCGTTTCAAATCGTGAAACATACAGAAACAAAACACTGAATAAGTTTTATGAGTATTTATAACAATAAATAATAACGAGGCTAATTTTAAAGCATTGTGTATTATGTACTGTACACGTTTATTTTAATAATCACCTAGGAAGGCATCAACGTGGGCGGCGATGCCTCGCATTGCCTTATGAAAGATGACCGGTAGTGCCGCCAAACACGGATGCTGGCTAGGATCGCGCCCTTCCTCCGCGCTGTACGAGTACTGATGGAGAACGAAAAAAATGGTTTAGTGTAACGCGGACCGTCCGCGCTGACGTATACGCGCATAGTTATTAACGCACACTCGTTTCAGTTTCGTGCTAATCGCTGCGAAGTACAGACATGACCAATCCTGTGAGTGTCCAAATGGACGCAGTGTATTATTTATGTAAAAAGAAAGAAGCGACAACGAAAAAGAAGAACACAGCATGTTCATCCACTTTCGTTCAAAGATTGCTAGTGTGTGTGTGCATTTGTGACGTTGTTCAACCAGTAGACACTGCTTGAAATAGAGTTGAAAGGGATAACGATACCACAGATACACATAAACTATAAAGGTGCCTCATCACATAGAACAAAATATGTCCGTTCTAACTCGGGCTATTCTTTGGACTATTTTGTCTTACTTGAATCGGCGCTAGATGGCGCAAGTGAACAAGCAACACTTAGAATTGGACTTGGCTAATCTATGGGTTTTCGCATAAACCATAAAATAACGCTAATATAGATGCACATTAAATATACCCTATCTTTAAACGTTTTTTTGTGTCTACTATTAAATGTAGATAAGTTTATTGCCTTTTATATATGTTTTAAATTGTCAATTAATAAAAATTTAAACACCAAGGAAAAATGTTTTAAATAAAATAATAATAAAAACATCGCCATTTACAGCGCCATCTCTGCATAGACATTTAATTATATAAAGCATATTTTCGATCTAAAATTGTGATGATTTGTAATTTTACGAAAACTAAATTAAATAACCCTTTCATTTTTCATTTTTCATTTCATTTTTCCGAGCTTAGGCATTCTTTCCCTTTAAGAAATTATACTGAGTTACTATATATGTATTCTGGATTTTCACAAACGTTAAAATATTGAATGATAACGCCATTTATTGTGGTTTTTAAGAATATTTTTTTACTTAGCGATGAGACGCCGTGACGATACCAAGTCTTTTAACTTTCTAGCATCTTTATTTTTGTAGAGCGGATCGGATGCATTCACACACTTCTTGTGTTTTCATCGCCATTCCATATCATCATCATATCATGGAACGCTTGCTGAAGGCAGAGGTGCATATGATAGTCAGCGCAGACCGCTCAGCGATGCCGACGCGCAACACGTACATTCGCGCACGGCTCAACGCCGACGCTCGTCAGCGATGAGAGGTCGGCGTAGCTATTATAGAACGCTTCTATAGAGCCCATACATATTGCCCTATCAGCGTGATACTAAAACCAGCCTTAAGTAATATAAATACGCTTAATATCGCCAATTCCCCTCTGCATTATAAAAAAAAATACCCAGACAGCTGTGTATGGGAGTGTTTTGTATTTCTATCAGGTAGCAAAACCAGGCTTTTTTATGATATGATTCAGTTTTGAGTAGAGCTAGAAGGGAGGCTGGATAGTGACATTGGTTTGTTGTCTTGCTTTGCCATGTTGTCAAAATGATTATTGAAATTAAATCGGTTATTGAAACAAATTAGAGGGTGAGCTTATTTAAGGTTTTTGGATATTAAATACATTTTTTATGATGATCTATCATCCTACCTGCAAGAAGTCAGGGGTCTGACTGATTAGGTGCGGCCGGCAGAGATCGACCGGATTGCCGATAGTGTGCAACATACGATACCAGCTCTGCATGACGGCTTCTGCACTCATGTCTTCAGGGACTAAATTTCTGTCCTCTTCACCTGCAGAAAGTTATTTCAGTAGCGATTATATAAACTATGTACTTTTCAAATGTGCAAAATTCTGTTACAATGGTAGTTTTAAATGTTGATTTAAGTAGTAAGATGATTGTGCCTATTCATTATTCAGTGGTCTACTTTTACACCACTGAAAAATATCCATATTTTATTATTGAGGGTATGTTCCTATATACACTGCGACCACTGAACAGTATGACGTCAATTTAGCATACTGGAAGCCCGTTCCTTTATAGCTAGTTATACTGGTGACTTTTTAAAACGGAACGCAGTCCAGTATACTGTTAATCCAATTTTTTGGCGCCATTTTCAAATTTGTTAATGCAAGGTGAATATAAATATAAAGATTCCCTCTTTTCAAAAGAAAATTGGAAAATTGTATAAAAAAATATTTATCAATTAAATCCATCTTATAAATAAACGTAAGTATTTTTTTTTTGTTTATTGAGAAACTTATCATTTTCTGATTCTGTTTCGACTGATCACGTGATCAAATCACTGCGAGCACCTTACCTCGAAATCTCTAGTGCTCACAGTACAAATATGGCGGCAATTTATGACGTCATAAATTTCCCTAGGGTACCGTAGCAGTGTACTGGCAGTCCATAACGGAACAGATTTTTCAGCAGTAAGACCACTGCGCAGTGCTCGCAGTGTATAACTGAGTTTACAGAGTTTACAACAAACGTCAATTTTTGTGTGTCAGTCTACAAAGTCAGAATTAAAGAGTTCTGATGCAATCTAATCGGCGTATTTAAAAAAGTTTTCATATAGAATATTTTAAAGGGTTTTGAAAGTGAACCCATAATAGATTTTTGACAATCTCACTCACTGATGGCCATTGCAGGGAATTGCGGTCCATACATGTGTTGCAAAAGACGCGCTGTAAGACACAAAGAAGCGCGCGCCCATTGTTCTGTGAGCGGTGCTCTGTGTCGCCACCTTACGCACTGTTCGCGTAGTGTACGCCAAAGTGGCGGCGAAGGGAAGCACCTAATAACAATATAGTGTTTTAGGTTAAAACTTATAGTAAAATGGCACTAACAAAATTAAAAATATATTAGACAACATACATTGCTGCAAGTTAAATAGCTATTGGCCCTTGTATGATGGAAATGCAATACAACGAAGATATCATAAGTAGCACACCTAAACTCGAGATACTATAGTCAGTTAGTTAGGCAGACAAGGCGACATCTTAAAACCTTGAGTCACTACAGAGGCGACATAAAATAAATTTGTGTATTGTTCAATCTTGCTGTTTATTGGTCAAACCTATTAATTTTGAATATCGTCACTGGATCTACCTGTGGCATGCCAGTATCCACACTTCAAAAAGGACACACAGCACACGCTCGCACAATTGTTCAGCTGCAGAATGATGGGGTGCTGGTGGAGATAAAAGTGCGGCTGCTGCCGCCAATAATAGTAGTAATAAGGCCCGCCATTCGCTAGCGTCGAGTGAAGCATTTCCAGCAAGTTCGCGTGCGAGGCGCAGAACTCGATGACAAAGCACTGCTTGCTTACTAATTAGGTCACCACCTAAATCAATACAATAACAATAAAACACAATTCAGGTCAAAGCTCTTCTATTCTTCATTATCATTGCATTAAATAAAATTATCACTATTCAAATAACTACACTCACCAACTTCCACTTGATACACAAATGATAGCACTTAAAAAAGATAAAATGTTTTTATAAGATTGGAAATGATGCTGTAGATATAGTTAGCAAAAAGCAAGAAATACAATTGGCTTCCATTAAAATATAGAGTATAAGTGGGCTGCAGTAATTGAATGTGATGTAAGATTAAAAGAATTCAACTCACTTTCATCTGGACGCGGCACAAAAAGGTTCTGCAAATGATGGAGAATGGTCTTTGCATATGCGTGGGGACGAGCACGAACTGGTTCCGGTAACGCGGGTGGCGGTGGTTGTGCTGCCGGTGCCGGTGGTAACAGGGCACCTAACCAAGCGCAGCACACACGCACACACGCACGTACCGCTTCGTGCTCTGTCAAGGGAAGTGACAAGCCGAAACGGACTACTTCCAACACCCATTCTACCTATAGGATGAAATTAGTACATATTTATGTTAGTACCTATGTGGACAAGACTGTTTTTATTCTAGTATTTCAAAAGAGAAAACCTAAAATAGAAAGCTATGTACTAAATCTGTACCTCTAACAGATTTCGTACATAGCTTTCTATTTTAGGATTTCCCTTAAAAAAAGACAAAAATTTAGATGCTCAAGCTCAGCATCAACATGCAAGAAATGTTTTGAACATAGCAAAACATATCAATATTTTAACACTTCTATTATTCATTAAATTTGGATTTTTTAGGTAATAGTAACAATTCTGTTGCACAAACTTGATTAAATTTAGCCTTAATCCTACTACAGGTGTTTTCAATCCTATTAATAACAAAGATAACATAAGTTAACTTAGGGTCTTAAATAATTACATTACAATCAATGCTAAGTCTTAAGTAAAAGTTTTGTGTATCTTTCAACTCGCTGGTTTAGCTAATGGCGATGCAAATCCTTTGTTCATTAATTAAAAAATGCATCGACAATCAGTGCATTTGTGCAGTTGTTTATAATGCCACATGGTGTCAGGAATTTCTGACCTATTATTTAGGTAAGAGTGTTCAGTTACCAATGACTTTAACTGATGGTTATCTTACTTAAAACTTTACTTGAGATGGTGAAAGAGGCCCTGGCGAAATAGTATGCAAGAGTATAACTATAACTGTTTGATTAAATGTGACATAAATTAATCTTAAAACAAAGTCAAATTGAAATATGAATCTTTTTAGGCTGATGTAGAGTGTGTTAGAACAGAATTGGGAGGATTATTCTGGAAAGTTACTTTATAGGAAAAAAGTTGTAGTTTGTTGAAAACACATGGTAAAATCAATATCTAATGATAAAAAAGTTATTTTATTTGGAAAGATTTATAAAAGTTACAACCTCAGCATCAGTGGTGAGTGGGCTAGGTTCATGAGAAGCTAGCTGCCTCACAACTGCCAGTACTACATCTCGTCCCCCAACCGCTCCCAACACTCCTCGTCCACCACCTTCCAGAGGCAGTGAACTCCATTCCGAATACATACTATCTGATGATGTGTTCTGTTTGATAATTAAATAAGTATTAATATGAATACATTTTGAATATAATCAAAAATAGGGTTTCTTTTTACAATTTTGTTTAATTTATTGTTTAGGTGCATTGTGCAATTTTTAGTATGGTCAGCATACTAATCAATTAAAATTATTTATCAAAAATACAAAATATGAATAAAGAATAACATTAAAAAGAATTATATTACTTTTGAAGTTATCTGTTTCAATCAATAAAACAAACTGCTTTGTAAAAATTGTTTATGAAACATACCTTGTTATTGACTCTATTGAAAATCCCCACATACATATATTTTGTGTTTCTATTCCACTTCGTTAAGGTTTTATACAATGTTTTCAGCAATTGCAGCTAAATTCAATATTTTAGCTGCGATTTTTATAGTAAAATATAATCCTCTCATTTAATAGTTTAGAGGTTCATCAATGATTTTCAACCTAAGTATTGAAATTTGTTTACTTATTGTGTGAGTGGAGTAAACAAAGCTGATTTATTATATTTAAAATGGGTAGAACTTCTAAAATAACAAATAAACGAAAGCAGAAGTGCTACAATCTTAATCAAATTACAGAATTTGACAGAGAGTGTCAAATTACATGTCAATTTTATGTATGTGTAAAGCATACAATACTACTCTTTGGTGTAAAGCATAAGATTCTATAGGCCATATTTAAAAAATAAAATTCTATACCATTTTTCATTTAAAGTGGTGAATAATATAAACAACAAACCGAAACTGTTAATGGAGTTTTCACAACGATCAAACGCCGAAATGAGACCAGAAACATTTGTTAACTTGGATTATAACTTTTAACACAACTTTTTGAAGAGACATTAGAAAAATAAACAAAATAAACAGTAAATCACCTTTTTTCACAAAAATAATAATATAATATAATATCTTCTTCTTCTTTTATTGATGGTTTATCTGCGCGTTTCGCACAATTCCGCCAATTTCATGTGGATAGCCACTACACGAAAGGGGTTTTCATAAATAATTAATTTGGAAAAGAGATTCTAATATGTAAATAAATTATTAAACACTTCCTATGTCGATAGCGAACCTGAAACAAACACATCACATTTTATCGCATACACCACGTTACACAACACAACTCATAGACAGGCATAACATTTTAGTAAGAAGGAAATATGGAAAGGTTCATTATAATTTTAACTTATTATTACTTAGGGTACATTTAATTAGTGTTTTTAAACAATGTGTATTAAACAGTTGACGTACATTTTTAATGTTAATTGGACGGGGAACATCTTGTGTGGTACATCATACAGAGGATACAAAAGTTTGAGACAGTCAAATAGTGTGTGTTCCACAGATCCTTCATATAAGCCGCACTCACATAGGGGATTATCCCTAACATTATTGTCGGCCAAATGAACTGGCGAGCTTGAGTCACCTATGCGGAGACGACATAATACTGATATAACCTGTTTGGGAGTATATTTCTGTTTTATATACCAAGGTTTTCTTTGAATAGTTGGTTGAATGTAAATATGCAAAGTAGTACTTTCGACTCTTATTTTTAGTGTTTATCCAATGAGTCTCCCATATTTGATATAAATGGGAATGAGTGAGAGGGATGAGATCGTGATATGTAAGTTCGGAGTGACTAGTACAACCAGAAGCTCGGTTGCTTAGTGGATAAGCGTCGCGGCACACGATCGTTGTCGTTAAGCAACTTTCGCAAGGGTCGGTCACGGGATGGGTGACCAAAAAATTATTATTTCGAGCTACTCCGTGCTTCGGAGGGAACGTTAAGCCGTTGGTCCCTGCTGCATTTGTAGTCGTTAATACCCGCCAATCCGCAGTGGGCCAGCCTGGTGGGTCATGGCCCATGCTCCTTAACCATCTGTAAGGAAGGCCTGAGCCCCTGCAGTGGGGACGAAATAAAGGGCTGATGATGATGATGAGTACAACCAGTGGAGATTGTATTCCGGGCACATGAATCAACAGCTTCGTTGCTGTGACCTTCAGCTCAGCATAAGTTATATTTCTTTCAATTAAAACTTCTCTAATTTTGAGAATAATTAGGAAGCGAGATTTGGACTGCAAGGGACTGGAGGATATTGCCAGAGCTAAGAGAATCGGACAGGATGATTGAACGGTTTAAATTGTGTGATTAACAATATAAAATTTCTTCACCTATAAAGACTGATGAGGGTGGTGGTATTTTAAAATTCAGGACTATCTTATACGTAGGTATCCATACTGCCACTCCACCATTCTCAGTATCTGAAATCTTGGATGCATCCGTAAATACTTGGAGCCAATGCGGCCAGTTTTTACACATTACCTCATTGAAGGATTTATTTGAACTGGGTGACTGTTTTTCAATACCTAAATTAAGTGAGATGGGCGGGTCAAAACTAAAGACTCAAAGCTGTTTAAAAACAAAGGATTGCAAGGAAATTTTTCAATGGAAATGGAAGGGCGATGAAACTTAGAATAATTAGTAACTTACAGGGTACTTTAAGAGAAGAACTAGAGTTGATATTTGATAAATGGGTCTGTCTGAAGAATTATCATTAAGGTCAGAAAGCGCTTTTTGAAGTTCTTCAAAGGAAAAAGCTCCGTCTATGATGTCTGTGGAGGGTAAGTGGGTTGATAGGAACACAGTCAGCATTTGGTACAGATGAAGGAGCTTATTTACCAGTGAACGCTTCAATCCAGCTTGAGGAATCTTTGGCAGTCAAATTACGACGGTTGTTCGCTATACGTAATATTTAAGTTGATTTCAGACTATTGCTGAAGGGGTACCCAGGTGACAAAGCTTCACATAATTTATTCCATCCTGTTCTTTTTTTTTGTTTGATCAGTTTTTTAATTTTGCGCAGCAATTCGCTGAAACGAAACGAAGTTTTCCATGGACATGGAATGACTGTATTTTTTTCGGCTTGTTTCCATCTTTTGATAGCCTCTGAACATTGGGAGTCCCACCATGGGAAATATTTTTTTGGGGTGCAGTTTTTTTTGGAATGTTTATATGTGCGGTGTCAATTAGGTATTCCACTAAAGCATCATAAGCTTTGGTACCATTTTCAGATGTTAATTTAGGAAGGCCATCTACATTACTGTCCAGTGTCTCAGAGTAAGCTGACCAATTTACCTTGTGAAGTCTAAATTGTAATAACGGAGCGGCCGACGGAGTAGAAGTAGGACTATTTAATGACGAAATCAAAATTGGAAAATGGTTATTGCCATGTGTGCTACTTAATATGGTTCAAGATATATTCAATGCCAGTGAAGGAGAACAAACTGTGATATCCGCTGCTGATGAGTTTTCGATTCCGATTCCTTCTAGTGGGGTTGCCATCATTTTATAAACAAAGATTTCTTTAAACTTATAAGTCAATAAATTGGCAACCGAGAGAATTATTTGAATATGAACCCTATGCAACATGATGTGCTTAAAAATCTCCCATAATTACAACAGGAGTCATAATAATGGCTATTAATTCTGAGATAACAATATTAGGTGAATATTGAGGAGGAATGTATATTGATAAAAATGCTATGCTTAACAGTCTCACAGCCGCTGCGTTAATGCAGTCACTATGGGGTGGTAAATTAACTTATTATTAAAAGGGAGAGAGTAACTGACCAGCAATGCATTCCCTCCATAGCCGACCCTCCTGATATCCTGGAGGCAGGAGTACCCAAATATGCAATAGTCGGCACCAGACACCAACCATATCTCCGACATGGCAAAGATAGACGGAGAGAATTTATTTATAAAATAATTTACTTCATGAGCTATTGTTGTTATTAGTGAGAAATTTGTGAAGTTGATTGATTTTTTGCGCAACGTTGGGATGTCTTCAAATCTATTTAGAAGACTTACAACGAATTTTAAGAGGGTTTCTAACAAGTTATCATTTGGAGAGATTTCTATTAGCGAGTTTTCATTACTGAGAGCGCAGCCATTTGGAAGCGAAGAAGAACAGTTTTCAATAATGGCCTGATGAGCTAATCGATCGTACCCGGAGCTCAATGGGATTCTAGAGCTTGGGGGCTGGAATACAGTTTTTCGGTGTGAAGTTGTACCTGTTAGATGCTTGTTAGGGGATGTTTGAGTGTGCTGAATATGGGTATGCCTCGATGAAGGGGATTGGGTTACGTACGTTATGAAATCTTTGGGATGCTTCCTGGTATGAAATGTTATCTTGTGACATACGTATTTTAATAGACCTTCGTCGAGACTGTTCTGGGCAACTTTTGTTAGTAACATAATGACAGCCTGAACAGAAAAAGCAAGTTGATTGTGACTCACTAATACTACAACATTCACCAGAATGAGGTTGAGAACAGCGGAAGTGTGGCGACTGATACATAGCGACATCTAACTCATCGCACTAACATCGCCACAACAATCGATAGCGAGAAGACTAGCATCGTCACAGCCATCGATAGCAAGACGAACTGCAAGAAGTTTCGTATTGTTCTACCATCTTATCAGCGAGTTTGGCGATATCGTCGAGTGCGGTATCTTTGGCCACTGTGTCGCTTACGACGAGTACGTGTGGTGGTAGAAGATTCATCCACATTAGCTGTAGCGTTTTGTCGGGGAATTTTCCCGTAGCGAGCGTTTTCATACGACGAAGCAACTGGCTCGGCCTCTGGTCGCCGAGTTCCATGTCGGAGAGTAACCTATGTAGCTGCTTGCTGTCGGATTCCTCGTATGCAGATATGAGTTTTTCTTTAACGACTGTGTAATAGCCCTCTGACGATGGTGCGTAAAGTAGGTCGCAGATTTGCTCGACATCTTCCTTATTTAGCTGGGCGATGACCATCTGCGCCTTCTGGGCTTCGTTTTTATGAAGCTCATTAACTGCAGCTTCAAAAACGGCGAACCACAATTGTGGTTTATCGCGCCAGAATGGTGGTATGCGGAGTGGGAGTGCGACGCTGGAGATTTCGTTTGATGTAGACGGCGACGGTGGGTTTGCTTCCGTGTTTGCCATCTTGTGAAAGTTTTTCTTGCAGGAGAAAAATGCGTTTCGAAACAGGACCACGTAGTTCTTCGAGTCTTCGATGTCGTGTCGTTTAAGGATCACGTCGGTTGAAGATCACGTCGGTTGAAGATTACGTCGGTTGAAGATCACGTCGGGGTCACCACTTTAGGAACCGTAAGGTTGAATGTGTGGTCCCTACTGTGGTGATGGAGACAACTGGCCAGGGAGACTAAAGGATAATTGTCTCCCTCCGAGCTAGGTGTTGTTAGCCCGAGGACCGCGGTCCAACCGATGTAGGTTGGACATTCTATTTATGTTAATTGGTTTAGGAACCGTATGGTTGAAGGTTGGGTCCCTAACTGTGGTGATGGAGACAACTGGCCAGGGCGACTAAAGGATAATTGTCTCCCGCCGAGCTAGGTGTTGTTAGCCCGGGGACCGCGGTCCAACCGATGTAGGTTGGACGTTCTATTTATGCTAATTAGTAATTAAACTTATTCTGTGCGATGTAGGTTTCTTTGTTCTAAATGCCTTGTAGTTTTTAATTTATGCTGCTTGTATTGGTACAGCGCCATCTCGTTACTTGCTGTTGAAACTTATTGCAGTTCTTCTTGCTATCGATGGCTGTGACGATGCTAGTCTTCTCGCTATCGATTGTTGTGGCGATGTTATTGCGATGAATTAGATGTCGCTATGTATCAGTCGCCACATTGGTAATGAAACTTATTCTGTGCGATGTAGGTTTCTTTGTTCTAAGTGTCTTCTAGTTATTAATTTATGATGTTCGTATTGGTACAGCGCCATCTCGTTACTTGGTGTTGAAACTTCTTGCAGTTCGTCTTGCTATCGATGGCTGTGACGATGCTAGTCTTCTCGCTATCGATTGTTGTGGCGATGTTAGTGCGATGAGTTAGATGTCGCTATGTATCAGTCGCCACAGAAGCAACGTGATTGAGACTGGTATTGTGCTTTAATGTGTCCAAAACCACAACAGTTTAGTGAGAAATTAGTTAGTTTCTACTGGCAGGGACGTATGTTAACAAAAATATTATTAGGGAGGACCTGTCCTTTGAATGTAAGATTTATAGTTTGAGTTGGCACCCAGTTCACTTTGCCTTCTGTCACAGTCTTTCTATTAAGTCGTCTTACCTTTAAAATATGACCGCAGCTTACAGGAATAACTAACGATTCTACCAACTCTTCCATTGATAGATCAGATGGTACACCTTTAAAAATTCCCATATTTTAAAAAATTTCCCATCGAGTAACATTGTAATAAGCTTTTTGTGCAGTATATTTATAGAATGAAAGAAAGGAGTTGTTTAAGAATTGATTTGCGTCCAAGCTGGTCTTAAATTCTACTAAAATTCTATTGCGCCCAACTTTTTTAATACCATCATTTACAATATTTCTAACCTTGTTTTTAACTAGTAACTGACCAAATTAAATGGGATGTATTGATATGCCTGATGAAGGATCTGTTTCAGTTTTAGAAATATGTACTATAAAAGGGCCTTTATCACTATCAATATATTGTTTGTTAGTATCGTTTATAGATGGATGGATGAATAGACCGAGAGAGTTCTCTGTGGCGTCTGTCTGCCTAACTTGTGTGATTATTCTTTTAGGTGTATTAATAAATTCGGGTTCAATTTCTTTTCGACGTTTAACTCCTGTCTGTGTGAATAACGGAGGAGAAAGTTCCATCATTGGTAGTGGGAGTAGAAGTCCCGTCCGAAGGACTCTGAGGTTAAGAAGGGGTCCTTTCCATTGATTACTTTGTAATCAGTGGAAATGAAGGAGAAACAGCAATCTATAACTACTTACCATTCCCAGCTGTTAGTACTAAATAAAAACATTATATTTCGTAATTCCACGTAGAAAGTGGGCAAATATTCACTAAATAAATAAAAAAAATCCCTATACCACTGGTAATAACTAACCCAAGAAAAAAAAAATTCCAAACTAACACTGACGTGTCCATAACAGTTCAAAAAAATGAGCTAGCGATGAGAACATATAAATGAGTGATTGAAAGAGCAACTCAGTCGGACATTTTGAAATAGTTGTAAAAAATTTGGTATTTTGTAGTAAATATATGCAAAAATGTATATGGCGTAAAAACAATATTAAATAAAATTAAGAAACTAGGAAAAAAAGATTGAACGAAATAATCATGTAAAAATTAAATTTAAAATTTGCCTCACGCGCGGTAGCAATTGTCCCTATAAAAAATCTACTGCACTGTAATATTTTCTACAATTTCGTTCAAATATGAAATTTCATTAAAATACACGGTCCAAATAGTCGTTTGTTTGTACAGGAATTGTTCCAAACGATGCGAACGATTGAGTGGGGCATGTGGCAGTGAACGGTATTTGTTGTTTGTTTGTTTGCTCACTCAGTCTGGACCATGTATGTACGACAGACACAAGTCATGACCTATATTCAACATGTATTTGAGAATTATCTCAACTAATATATCTGTTCTATGCATATAGTCAGGTTTGCCAATCGTACGGTAAGACTTATCATTCGTTAACCCCTTTCGTTCGAATTTAGAGTCTCGGGTGCTCTTTAGTTACTGTGTTTGATTCTTACGACGACTTGGCCTTGTTGCTTCTCGTTTTGGATAGTGTTCTTTATTAGATTGATAATTTCTGCAAGGCCTCACAGACTCTGATAGTGTACTTTGTGATATCAAAAGTGCTTATTTTTGAATGGAAAATGTTCAAGAATTCTGATTTTTCTATCAGTTATTTATAAGACAATTTCATAATCAATAAGGTATTTTTTTTTATATACCTATGATTTTAAATATATCTATCAAACAAAATTCTTACTGAGTGAATATCTTTTTAACAGTATCTTTCTTGTACCATATGTTTGTCGTTACTGTAACAGTTTACTAAATAAACTGTCTTTCTTTTGAATGTTTAGTTGATGTGCTTAATTCCTTTTTCCTATTTAATACAAATCAATTTAAAGAAAAACAATCATTAAAAATAATAGTAGTTACAATGTTAACAATTGTACTATGGAGGTAGGCAGAGATGGGAGCACAGCGCGGCTCATAGTGGTGAAATAGTATACTCGGTGGAACAGAACGACCGACACTCCCGAGGTTCCTGAAGAGTACTATTTGTCTTTAATATGATGTAAAAAAAAAATAAGTCTAGGTCAAATAGTTTCGGAGATATTAAATTACAAAGTTTAAAAAAAATGAGTGTTTTCAACCCTGAGTCAGCTGTTTTTGGGACGTACTAAGGAAAAGTTATTAATCGGTCATTGACTTCTTCATTTCTAAAAACGAAATAAACTAGTTTGTGATTTATAAGACTACTTTCATGCAAATTCTACCAGTCAATCAATAAGCAAGGCAGTCAAAATGCTTAAATCGATTTACAGACTAACAGCCGGTTTATGATTTGAAAAAAGTAGAAAATTTCTACTGCTTATTCTCAATAACCTAAGTTTTTTTAATTTCACTAGTCAAATAGTCTTAATTTTATCAAACTGCTATCAACTGATCACCAAAAAACTAAAATCGGAAACGAAAACTAAGTGATGTTAGTTTGAGACGTTTAACTTTAAATACTCAATTAAGAAACCGAGTGTAAAATTTCCTAAATTATTGTAGAGAGATCAGTCTTACATTAACCTACGTAATTTTAAAAGAGCAGTTCTCCAAAAAGAATGTTTGAATGGGGTAATACTCCTTTAACAACGGGATCGTTAATTAAACTCGATAAACTCACAAATCTTCCAACGATTCATCATTAACATAAATGAACTTTGTTTTAAAAACATTGAGAAATTTGTAATTAAAATAGCATTTAAAAAGAACATTAAAAAATGCGTGATATCAAAAGACGAATAAAAAAAATATGAACCGAGTTCGTCCCTCAATATCAAAGCAACACCCACCCGCCAGCCGCCAGGCGGCTTCATTATTCTGTTGGTATTATCCGGCTGATTAGTCGCCGCCGACCTTTTGCGCTGGAGTGTTGTTGCGCATCGCCGCCGACGCACCGCTGCGAAGCGCCTTTTTTGTCGATTTTTGTTTTGTTCTAGTGCATTTTTAATTGAATTTTTGTTAATAAGATAGTAGAGTGTTCGTCTTGAGTGTTAAGTTTAGTTTAGTGAAGATTGTGTTTAGTTTTGTGTGAAATGTGATGTGTTTTGCGCGTGCATACACTGGCATGCAAAAGAGCATGCTTAGCTGTCTTCAGAGAAGAATTGAACATTTTCAGCATCGACTATCATTAAGATATCGGTAAATAATTAAATTAAATGAATGTATTTCGCGGTCCGTTGTAATCTGCGCACAAGCTATATTGCGCATGCGCGTTAAAGGGCTGTCAACACTTAGAAATTTAAAAATTTTACTCCATTTTTACACCTTCTCTATTTTTAAATATTTGTCAAATAAAATGAACGTTTGCATGTAGCCTAACTTGAAACTTTCTAAATGACTTCTCGCGAAACAATACATTCATTTTTTAAGTGATTTTCAATTATTTGCAAGTTTGTGCCAAATAACCCCGAAATCGGGTGAGTGTTCTAATTTCTTTAATTTTTACTGCTCGCTTACAAGTTATTACTTTGAAGTATTTTATTTTTAAAATCAAAAGTCCAATAAGTAACTTTATTAAATTCTAAATCTATTTCGTTGCTTTAGATATTTAACGGTTTTATTGAACATTTAATTCCTTTTAATTTCCTAGTTTTAATTTATATATATATATATATATAGCCCTTATAAAAAATGTAATTATAGTTCAATATTCTTAAATAGGGATAGTTTCCTTAATCCTCTACGCGAGCTATTTTACTTAAATAATATAAATTATTAAGAATCAATGCTCTTAAAATGTGTCCACGGATTTCTTTATAATTACCGTTCAAAAAATATTCGCCTTAATTTACTACCTACAAATTTGAGAATTCATACCTTTAACTGCCTTAGCAAGTTTGTACCAGTATGCACTCGGCGCCCGAGCATAGTA